GTGCTGACGTGAAGGGAATAAAATCACATCATACAATTTTTTTGATTAGTATTACTATTATTATCCCTATTCCGTGTATGGACATATGGTACTGCGTTCTTAGAATGATTTATCAGACCAAACTATTCTCTTTTCTATCCTGCTTTTTACTTAATACTAAAGGAAATATATAAAACTCAATGGAAAAATGTGATGTTAATCACTACATAATTATTACTAATGCACCAGTTATAGAGAAAACCAAACGATACTGACTAGACAGTTGTCTCGTCCAGCTTGGGATTATTCTGAGCATCACGTTTTACGTGCCCATGACGTCATCGAGGCCTGAACCTAAGCTCTTCAAGGTCATGGGGGCAGTCAACTGAATATTCCACCCCCGCTGGGGGTGGAATTCAATGATTTTCGGAATAATGCTAATCCATGACGAAATTTACACTGAAATTAATCGACATCTCTCTACAAAGTCTTACAATTGTGACTACTTTTTATTATTGTTGATTCTCTTTTTTATTTTAAGGATTTGATTGGTTTCAAGTTTGAGGCCTCCAAAGCCTCAGGATGGTCGGGGGTGGGTGCCTTGCGCTGCGGGTTGGCCACCCCTCCACACACCTCTTGAAATGCTCCCATATGACCGGGCGTCCTACATAGCCTCTCCTGAGGAACTCCTACTCACTGCCTTCACGTGGCGGAGGTGTTTTTCACCAAAGTGAGAGGGCGAAAGCGGATGCCCGGCGCTCTTCACCGGGTTGACTGTCCATTGGATGACAGTCTAGGGGAGATGGCTAAACCCTGATTCCAAACCTCCAACGACTGGTGTATGAAGCTCACTGGAGCTCACCGGCAGACGTATGGACAAAGGGCTTGTTGGATGTCCTGGATGTCTGGCCCCATTCAAAAAGGCGTATGAACCGAACTCCGGTCACCGGCTGCCAATGGATAGTGGACTCCCTACTCCACTCCTACTGCCTTGCACGTCACACTTGGTTGTGTAAAGGCTAGAGCTGCACTCTCAAACAAAAGGCCGAGCGATTCTGGGGACATCACTCGTACCAAATTCCCATGAAAATTCATGAACTCTCTTACAAATCAGATCGCCGCGCCTGGGCAGCGATGATTCGAGATGTTCATGAAGCCGGCTCATCCTCCCGTAGGAGATAGCCGAAGTAAAGAAAGAAGTAAAGAAGAAGTTTGACAAAGGATGAATATCAGTTAGAGAACCATTGAAAACTAATAGCAAGGATTACTGGATAGCTATTTTGCGCTATTTCGGGACTCTTCTAGAAATATGCACCCATGACTCCATCACCAAACGGATCGAACCAAGGGGACCTACGGGGTTACGAGGCGAGCTCATTGACCAAGCAGCCACTCCAATCAATCCGTGATTTTTTAGCACGATCGCTATGTAATGTCATCCATGGGTATTTGTCGTCACACCCAACTTAATGGATCCAACAGTAATCAGGCACATAAATATTTAGGGAATGAAAAATATAAAGGAAAATTTATAAAATGGTACATGCATACCAGGTTCACGCAGATTATCTTTGTTTTAATGGATGTTTATTATCATTGTGATAATGATGATGATTATTGAGGAAACAAGCAAACAGGGGGGGGGGGTGGTGGGTGGTCTTTTGTGTCAATTATAAAGGATCAATATATATACATATAAGGAAACTAACTATACTCTGAAAGAAAGGCAGAGAGAAAAAACAAACAAACAAACAAACTGAAAACTGAAAACAGGTTACCACAACAAACAACATACAATTGGGTCTGACTTTTGAGACAGACATTGAGGCATTGTCTGGTTCATCATTTATTTATACATGGAGAGCGAGAGATTTAAAAAGCGAAAACGAAGGTTGAACAATGAACCTTAGGTGAATAAGTATGGACGTTCACACACACGTGTGCGTATGTGTTTCAGAGAGAGAAAGGTGAATAGCCTATCTATAGCACTAGAGATTAAGACGATATTGGGAAAATGAATTAGGTACATTCATGCCACCAACTCCATTTTATTCAGTCAACTTCTTTTTGTTTAAAGGGAACAAAACAGTATTAGGACAATGGTTGTAATGCGTATTGAGATATGGGATATGTAACACAGTCTATACAGGATAGAGTGTTGTGTAAGCGCCATTCTGCAGACAGTAATTTTACACAGCTTACACAAAACGAGAACAAAAAAATTAACAAAATTGAAATTATTTGGAATGATGATTATCGGGGGAAAACGATACAAGCTGAGTTTTTCAGTCCCAATCTTCGTAATTTATCTACCTACCTACCTAGTGACGATACTCCTCAAGTGTATACAAATTTGAATACGGGTATTTGAAACAAATAAGAGACAAAGAGATGGAAACAGTTAACCAATTTATCAAAGACACCTTATCGCATGAGGAAATTAGTGCACTGCGAGCAAAACAGTTTGACTGGTTTCAACGTTGCACAGATGTGCAGCATTTCGAGTTACCACACTTCACGTAGCACACAAAGCAAGAGAAGAGAGTAAAGGAAGATTCAAAAGAATGGTAATGTGGAAGAACAGTATAGTTTCACTGGATATTATAAATCACAAAGAGTGAATACATCTGCGTCAGTCATTGAGAACGATTTTGGGCCATATCACCGATTGTCTCCAGCTATTAGTGTTTACCGTCCCGAAGACCGCAACCAGGAAGCCAGTCTACATCTCCCTACATGGCTGGCTGGCTAACTTAAACTAACTATTGTGGATTTCATGGACTGATGCAACCATGTTTTCGTTTGACCAACAATACCTCTTTTCCAACCCGATTCATCGCATATCAGTCAGCTAACATTACCCGTTGACGAAGGCGAAGGCTAGGAATGCATGAGTAACACATGTCCTAACCACCTCTCTCTCAATCGGTGTAACTTCAATATTGCTCACCTTAACACGGGAGATAGAACGCAGACACCTATGATCAAAGACAGCTAACCGGCCTTTTCAAATCTTCCACTTTCAATGGTCATGTCTCAGTTACAGCCAGCCATAAAGGAGGACAGAGCGATCTGTTGCGCTGAGCAGTATTATATTAAAGTCAATATAGTATTGAGTGAATGCACTTGCATCATGGAGTTTTCATCTATCAATTTTATCTGTTTCCTATAATACACTGGCAAACCAATCTGACTAACTGAGTTTAACGTAGGATTCAGCACAGAACAGAAGTGCACCAGTTCAAATAGCCATATTCCATATAACACAAATAGGGAGAGAAAAGATATTCAAAAGAACTATCGTGAGGAGAAATGTGCATCAATAAGAATGGTAATATGGATAAAAAAAGGTGAGCGTTGAATGGACATAGGAGATTGCAAAGAGTGAATGCATCTACACCAGCCATTGAGAACCAATAGTCTTCAGGCATTGCCATTGTTCTCCAGTATCTCTACACTTCACCTACAAATGGTCTCCCTGCAACGATAAAAGATCACCACCACATAGATTCATGTTATGTCTTGGTATTGCCATTTTTATCTTACCACTAACCAACATCCACTACCATTGTTCGATGGGGGTAATTCTTTGACATTATCAACTGACTAACCACATTTGTGTATTATTATTATTGTTATTGCCTTTAATTCCTAGAGGAACATGGGGCTTCAGCTGCACGTCTCCATTGCGTTCGGTTCTCTGCTAGAGTTTTCACCTGGCTCCAAGTCTGCCCACATGCTTTCATCTCCTCTTCACATGACCTCCTTTAAGTCACCCTTAGACGACCAACTCGCCGCTTCCCTTTCGGGTTCCACTCGAGCAATGGCTTGTCTAGTGATGTCACTTCACGGTTTCCTCAGAGTATGGCCAATCCACCTACACCTCTTCCTGCATATTTGTTGCACAATTAGTTCCTGCTGAGTTAGTTCGCTCATCGCCAGAGATCTCTGTTGCTTATCAACTCTGGTCATCTGATCTTGAGTATTGAGCGAAAACAGCTGTTGATGAAGGTCTGTAGTTTGTTTGAGATGCTCTTTATGACGCGCAGTGCAAGTCTCTGATCCGTATAGTAGCACTGACTTCACATTGGAGTTGAAAATCCGGATCTTATTTTTCATTGTGAGTGTTGTTGATCTCCACACTGACTTGAGAGTAATGAAAGCTTGTCTTGCTTTGATATCCTCGTCAGTTCCGTTCGCCTGTAGTTGAAACGATGCTTCTCAGGTAGGTGAAGGAGGTTACTTCCTCCCATTTATGCTGACTGTTGTCTGTTGTTGCTGCTGCTGTTGCTGTTGGCCAGGAATCTTCATCACCTCTGTTTTCTTTACGTTTATTTGGAGTCCTATCTTCTCCGGATGCTTCTGACAACTTGTTGCTTTTCACTTGCATATCTTTCAGTTTGTGAGAAATCAGACATATATCATCGGCGAAGTCCAGATTCTCCAAGTTTTTCGTGAGGGTCCATTTTATGCCTGTTTCCTCGTTGCCCACTGTCTGTTGCATTATCCAATTTACCACAATCAGGAAAATCATTGGCGATAGTAGGCAGCCTTGTCTTACTCCCGTCTTTGCTTCGAAGGATTACGCAAGTTTTTCGTTGTGGATTACTTGGCATGCAGCGTTGTCGTACAACTGTTGGATGAGAACCTTTGTGTACTATATGAAAACTACATACTGCTGATTGATTGAGATGAGTAGGTGGATACCACTCATAGTGCTTGCTAGCCAGAACGAGGTGACCTAAACACTGGACGGTGGTTTGAAGCCGAGTTCATCAGCGGTGTACCTCAGTTCGACTCAGCTCAGATGGCCGAAAATCGCTTCTCGCTAACAACTTGGTCGACCTGGTCACACCATAAATCAAATTTACAATTTGCAAAGTTCTACGCTGAAGCTGGTCAGTCAGATCACTAACACACCTTGACCAATATATATACATGTATATATATATATATATATATATATATATAGACAGAAAAATTATTACAATCAACTAATCAATCAGTCAATCACCACCTACCATGCTTCATGTATTCAGTAATAATCATAATTGGACGCTTCTTCAATACAACACCAAATAACTGTACAAGATTTGGATGATTCAGGAATCTACAAATAGAAAGAAAAATACTTTCTAGACTCTTTTTATCTACACACGACATCTACTGACAAAATAATTAATAATGAAGGCAGTAGATGAGAAAAACATGATAATACAAAAAACAATAATAATAATAATGAATTGGGCTGAGGAAAATCTATCGATTTTTTTTCTCCAACGGAACTGTTAAAGATGACCAAAATTTATTATCACTCAGTTGTCTACTTATTTCTCACCCATCTTCAAACAAAAAAAAACGAAAAACAAAGAAACCAGATACTCTGAATAACTCAATTCTTTCTAGAAGTATATGATATTATAATGTAGAGGTGGGGTGGAGTGGGGTGGGTTGAGTCATTCCAGAAGCAAGTAAGTAAACACTGATATGTCAGGAGAAGTATAACGAAAATCCAAAAAGAACAGGACGTAACAACATACATTTTGAGTCTAACGATTAGAGTGAGAAAAGAAATGTTAACAATTATCTTAAGTGTTGTCCATGAACCATTTGGAATTCCATACAGTCGGGCCAATGAGCCACACCTATTGCGTGTGTGTGTGGGTGGTAGCGATACTACCTGGCTTTCCAAACCTCGGCATGTAGACCGGACTTCGAAACTGCGACCTACTGGTTTCAAGTTGAGCACACCTGGATCGATGGGTCAAAGTTATACAATCATCTGTGTATAAATGAATATCTTTTATGGTGCGGAATTGGAATACAGTGAACGAAAGTAATGGCAAGAACGGACAGTTTTACCAGGGTATAGCTTTCTCCTATTTTTTCTACGCCTTATCAGCTATGAACACAAACTGAAAATGGATTTAATGTGGGATTTTTCTAGAAGGATTAGAACAGAATCTGACTTGTACTCTTCTGTACTGTATTGAGAGAGATAATCAGACTGTATAAAGTTTTTGGCTTACATCAATCAATGAATATTAATCCAAACAGTTAGAATAAATCACTTTCTCCTTTAAGATGAAGGGTTATTCACACTTTAATCGCATATGAAATATAATTCGCTGTGTACTCTTATTATCTTTATTCTTTCTATTCCAAGTCTTTCCTCGATGGTTCGATGTTTTTTTTCAGGTTCACAGTCATACCTTGTACGTGTTTGAAGACACCGCGTTGACACTGATCATTTTGGAACTTGTAAAAGTGTCATGATACATCGATAGATGCCAAATCAATATAACTTCTCTGTCTCTTTCAACAAGTAAAAAGACCCTTTTCGGTGAATTCGTCATCTTTAGCTGTACAATCGCATTAACATGCAATTTTTTTCATAAAAGAGGATAGTAACAAAGGTGGTGGTGAGCTGTCATAATCATAGTTGTTTATATTAAACAATAGATAAGAGGAGTTAAATAAGTGTGTCCCAGTTACGTAATAAGGTGAATAATTTAATGAAACGAAGGAAAATATAAAACTGCGCAAGAGTGGTGAAGAAATACAAAAACACTGGAGAAGCGGAAGCAGGTAAGACAAGGTTTCGCATCTAACCATCTCTGTGGGCATATATCAGTTCACGTGTATCTTGTTCAGCCAGGCATCCACGCGTATCCAGTCTAAAAGGGTCCAAGAACACTGTCTCGCGTTTGCTCTAAAAAGAGTGTGAAAATTGTATACAACCTCCTTCAAAGTGATGTACAGAGTGAAGAACTACCTGTTAAGAAACAAAACATTTTCATCTCCTCTGAGTTGCTACAGCTCTAACCATTCAGGTAAAGAAACCAGAGCTATGCATACAAAAGAAAATTATACAACCACTTCTACTATCACGGTAACCTTGATATAATTATGAGCAATAAATTGTGCTCGAAACGTTATCGGTAAATATATTACTGTATAACACTGTGAGACTTTATCGAAATAAATTTTACCCATAAAGAAAGTATCATGGTAACAACCTTGTTGATTTGTAAGTCACTTGATTTTTGTTTGTTTGTTTGCTTTTCTATTTTTTTGTAACTCCTGTACTTATTAAGAATTTCCACGTAATTTCGTACTATCCTTTAGTTTCTATGTTCATCCTGATTACAACTCACTCATTAAATTATTCATCTTATTACGCAGCTCTAACGCGCTTATTCAACTTATCCTACGCATTGTCGGAATTTTCAAGCATTGGTTTTGTAGGGATTTAGTTTGACTGGATGGAGGATTTCACCTCATGAGCTGACATCAGTTAGAGAACCACTGGACTAATATTACGAACTATGATTACGACAACTCATCACTCTCTCGTACATGGAAATTTGTATACAAATGCAATCGTACAGCTAAAGAAGATGAATTCGCCCAAAAGAGCCTCTACGCTGAACAACTACGTGTCTGGTTGTTTTCACCAATAATGACTGGATGGGAATTGTTCATGAATTAAAAAGTATAAGACTAGCAAACAGTGCATATTATGGATGATGGCGTGGGCACAAACAAATCATAATACACTTTCAAGTTAGTATTCCAAAAAGGACATTCGATTGTATAAACACACTTTTACCAGACCTCATAACCGTAACTGAATGTAAACAACCTTAGGTAGACAGTGGTGATTATACGCGTAAACTTGCCAGACATATTCTCACAGCTAGAGTAGACTGAGTTGGGACAAGGGAAATAAAAAAAAAGTCTAACTATTTTTAGAAAGAAGTTGTACACCCTAAGAAGGTGAAATTCTGAGAAATTAACATTTGTGAATTCCGGTATAGTATATATATATATATATATATATATATATATATATATATATATATATATATATAGCCTTACTATACAACCCAAAAACAGAAAATAAGTAGGAGAATATGCGTTAATTACACTATTTAAATGCTTAGCACTTAATTCACAGGTTTGATTAAAACCGAACGGATTGATGAATGAGGTAAATGATACTAAGGGGCTTCTACATATACCCCAAAAAGTAAACAACATTATGTTGTGACTTCTATAAACGGTTGAAAAAGAGCTTTATGCTATCGGAAAACTAAAGGTTATCATCAACATCTTAGTTATAATGGGAATATTTTTAAAAAGGTAACACCACAACAGAAATTTTTTCCAACACGCTTAAAACTCTCTTGGTATTTCAATAATATAAAAAAACGAAGAGTGAACTAAACATACGCACGAAACATATCAAGTTATTAAATGATGTTTTTGGTAATTAGACGTTGAAGAATACATTATAAATTATTTAAATTAATCCCAGCGTGTTCAGAAAATCAAAACAAGATTTTTCTGAACATTTTGCTGTGTAAGCCACAGCTTCTTCAGCAGATTTATTCGGATTTTTTATTAATCATCAAAATATATAGTCAAAAATTTTACATAAATTGAAGTCAGTTTATTTGAAGGTCATTTGTCCATGGACATTTTTACCAATAGAAAATATTGTCAGCAGTCATCACATATATTTGTAATGACTAATGTCAAGTTGTTGTTGTGTTCAGAAAAATCTTGTTTTGATTTTCTTAACACGCTGGTATTAATTTAAATAATTTATAATGAATCAATCTGACTCGGCGCTCAAATTATTCCAGGAAGTTCGTAACACCTACGGCCTGGAAACCTATAATACGTTGAATAATAGTTTACACTCTATTAGAGTATCTAAGACGATTCGTTGACTTATGAAATGATTTACATAGAATTCACCCCATGCTAAGAGTCGAAGTCAATGCAACAATCACTTATTGTTATCAAGACAAAGCAATACGAAGACGTAATTTATCTGAATCGTGTAATGCATTCGCTTAAAGCATTTCGAAGAATCTGATCACACATGGACTTGTCATAGGAATATACATGAAATTAACAGAGTTAAGAGGTGAGAAATAGAAATAGACTTAGGTCAAGTTAAAAGGACATATTGAAGGTCAAAATAACAATGAAGATCATTAAACCAAATAACAGAGGTAATAGTACATCTACCATGGTATCAAAACAAAGTTTACCAAAGAAAGTTTAGTGCGATGACGAATTGTTTTAGAACGCATAAAGGTGGTTGAAACTTCCTAATACGCCAAAAACACGTTTTACAGATAGGTTTAATAGACGTGTAAACATCAATTTTATGTACTGTCTCTATAATATGTTTGGCAATAGAGGAGCTAGGTTTCCTGTTTTCACCATTAATTGGCTCCAAGCATTCTATTTGGTTCTGGAGCCTTCTGAAGCCCTCCCTATGTATGTGTGTCCACACGTACAGTCGCATTGGTATATACAGCGGGGTGTGACATCATTTTTCACATGTTCAAAGGACTTAGATAAATATATTGGCTTAACATTCTCAATTATTGTGATCTTAGCTGAATAAAAAGTCTTTTTAGGCGCAGCGTTCAATCTTTGTCTAGTTGTCAAGCTGCTATGATGCCCCAAATAGGGTAGCTTGATGTACACGTCTTTCCTAGGGGGGAGTTGGAGAGTGGGTCTTGACGTTCTGACTACTTTATATCTCCTAATGAACTTATCTGGACAACTGTTATCAATCAGACTTTTTATCAACTTTCTTTCTTCCTCATCAAGTGTGTTTTCGGTGCATATTCGTTGGATTCTAAGGCTCTTTTGTACCGAACAGGGCAGAAACTGTGATAATTAAGATACCCTCCTGTCCAGATAGGTTTTCTTTAAATAGATCGTTTCTCTGATCCCCCAAAGCGTTAGATTCTACGTGATAACCTACCCAATACTCATCATATATATATATATATATATATATATATATATATATTGAAAGTCAAATGGCCAGTGCATTGAGTTATGACACTTCCAGAGGTTAAATTCTTGGTGTAATAAAAATTTTTAATTCAGCCTTAGTCATTGAGATCCGCACTAAAATTTATTTCCCGAAACTTTAAACTCCGGGCCGTGAACCACACAATTATAGCTTGAGGGGCAATGATACTAACCAGTTGCCTAGGTCCAAGTAGTTGAAGTGGGACTCAGACCCGAGACTTGTTGGCTATAAATAGAATGCTTGAGCTGATGAGCCGCCACAGCATCACAAAAACTTTAAACTCATTGTATGAGTTAGTTAATTAAAACAGAAAAGAGAATGAAGTGGGGGGTGGGGTGGAAAATAAAATTACCTCATATTTTTAGCTTCTTCAATAAAGTCATCTTCATTCATAGCACCTTCAACCATTTGTTTAACAGCAACAGGAATGTTACGGAATTTACCACGTTTAACAACCTGAATTAACACAAAATGAAGAAGGCAAAGAAACAAAAAATAATCAATGCATAATTGATATAGTCCAGAGTTGAATATATCATGCAAAGAATAGCTAGTTACATACTTGCCTACTTAATGGTTGCAGGTGTTCTACTATCCACCTGACAACATGGTGATAAGGTGAGTCTGTTATCCCGACCGATAGCTGCTTCCTTGACGTGGTGGTCGGGCTTACACATCGCGATGACCCAACAAGCTACACTGGCTGGAACCAATGTTCCTGCAGGTCCTACCATGCCAGGAAGGTTGTTAGGATAGCGATTAGACTAAAAGCAGTTACCGGCATTGTGTAAGAATCTTTCCTACACTATGCTGGGGGGTCTTAGGGCGAAGTGGTACTGCTGGGGAATAGGGGTGTAACAGCAGTGAGGTGTTTCCCTCAGATGATCAGCATGCCAGATATGCTGTCTGTCCACTCTGGAGAGAGGGGGTTAGAAAAGGTCTACTCCAAAACTTGTACATCCCGACTTACCCTACGGTGGTCCGTAACTGGCGGTAAGTTAATTAATACGGAACCAATCCAAGAAACCAGTTCATACAGGCTGTGTGTGACCGGCCTCAAGCAGTTGTCCCTTGGGCTCTGCGGTCACGCAACACTAACCATCCTTCTGTTTCAGGTACCCGAAGAATCAATCAACTTCCACGGTGTGGGCAGCCGGGAAGTAACAACAGTCCACACACTTCCAAAAACACACGAAGCCTTTCTGAGTCTGTTATGTCTAAAATGAGACGAAGTGGTAGTCTAGATTTTTGGATTTTCTGCACAGCATAGAGTCGAAGAGTAGTCAATTCAGATAATAACTCTGAAGTCAATAATGAATCGTTCTTCATTCGCGTTAAAACCTATGTGATTTGTTCCTCTATATGAAAATTTGAATCGACTATCCGTCGACTTCTATGGTCAGTAGAAAATCTACAAATCTGGACCACCACATCGTCCCAGGTCCACCTTATTATCAAGTCGCTAAGTGGATAACACAACTCCTAGAACCATAGTCAAAATTATTTAGTCAGTAAGGAAATCATACTAAACAATTATATTTAAATAAGGCACTAGAAAGACAAATATCTATCTCGAGATGATATCATTTCGTAGTTTTACCACCATTATAGCGCGTGGCTGACAACAATAAAAACGCATTTATAGAGAAGCCATACAGTGATTTTATCACTGCAATATTTATCGTCTAAATGTCTAATCTAAATATATCAAAGGGAATAATCATTTCTAATGATTCTATTCTCCTCTTCAAATCATTACTATTCTTTTATCAGTACGCACGTAGGAAGTACCCGCTGCTTATTGTTTTAAAAGAAACCACCTCAATCTGCACAAATATCCTACTTCTTAAGGGAGTAAGAAAAGGAAACAGGTGATTCAGAGAACAGATTCTTATCGGTGATTTCATTCACTGAAACTCTGCAGTCGCAATTATGTACAGTTTTTTTCATAACTTTGTCCAATCATTTTTATAGTGATCATTGGGTGACCTTAAATTCTTTATAAAACAGAATCGCTTTATCAGTGTCCTTTCAGTTAAATAGTTGAATATTTTTCTATACAAAAAGAATTGGAGGATAGCACTAGGGTCATCATCTATGAATTCTTCTATTATATAGCAGGTTGTTTTTAGGACTGATCTGCAGGAATTATTTCCCACAACCAGTTCAACCTGAAGTATGTGAAGAAACACATATAATCAGTAAAAAGGTGGCAAATTTCATGACCAAGTATATCAGTTTTAATAATGTTCATTTGTAAGTGAAATCCGATATTCTGATGATAACAAGAACAAGGAGGTGTGTGCATAATATCCCTTTTCCATAGCAGAATGAAACAGTCTTACCGTTTACATTGCCATGAAGCCGATAATCAGTCGTATATATTGTGATAATATCTGGCTACCGAAATCTAGGTGGGTTTTCAGTGGGGTTCAAACCTCTAACCCTAATGGTTGAAAGTCGAGTGCCTAGACCACGGCTCCATAAAATAACCTTAAGATTAAGGAATAATCTTGACACAGTGACCATAGGAATGTTCTACCCTTTTTTATGGCTGTGAGACATGGATATTGAAGATCTGAAGCTGTCTTGGACTATAGATGTCTGCACCCTACCCATTGTGTTACGCGGTACAACATAGTAGGTAATATTGGGGTTAGGACGTAGACTGGTAGGTAAGCACGACACATCAGTCTAACAGGTTGTGAAACCATATCGATTTAAATGGCTAGGGCACGTGTTACGCATGGAGAGCCACCGCCTTCCTCGATGAGCAATGTAAGCTAACATAGGATTAGGTTGAAAAAAAATTATGGGTAATCAAATCAAAAAATGATATCAGTTCATCAGGTATTTTAACAGTTAGTCTGGATCAGTCACATACACACGCAGGTATCGACTGCCAAACTGGGGTCCTTAGGAATGCTAAGAACCAGTGGCGTGAGACTGTCGGTGGTATTATGGTGACAGCTGGCTGCTAGCCAAATTGGTAGACAGTAATTTACATCAATGTTTACGTCCCCAATATTGATCGTGAGAAAAATAAGAACAAAGACTGATTCAACAACCAACCAAAGCAGACTTTGCGTAGGCGGATACAATTTGCAGATAGATAATCTGAACTTCAATAAACGGACACAAAGAGATGATAGATTAACGTTCAGTGAGAAACCACCAATCAGAAGACTGTGTTTGTTTACTTACAATAATCTATAATAAAGTACATGAAAATCTATGAATATCTGTTGATTTCCTAAATATAAACGATCTGTTGCCTGGCTCTTGTCTTCTGCCGTTACAGTATGACTCACGAATGGTTCACATGCATTCACTCTTTCTCATATCATACATCCATTAAATCTTAACTATTCTCCATATGCTTATTCTTTCTCCCGTACATTTGTATGATATATGGAGTGTGGCAAACAGAACTGCTGTACAGTCTGTATGTAGATACTTCTTTCCTCTTCTATTTCTTATTCAATTCACTTATATTGACACAATTAAAACTGGCTGGCTGGATTCAACATAGAACTTGGCACCAAAGTGCAGCAGTTCGAGTTGCCACGTTCCAAATAGCACACAAAGGTAGACAAGAAAATGAGTGAAGAGAATCAATAGAGTTTTGACAAGTATAAGAGTGAAACAGAATGAGTAATGGTAGAAAGGAATATGACACTGAATATTACAGAGACTGAATACATCTGCACCACTGACAACGATTTTGAGCCATGTCACCTAGTGTCTCCAGTCATTGATTCTTAGAGTCCCGAGGGCCCCAACCCGGAAGTCTGCATCTCCCTACCTGACTCAGTTTAACTGTCAAGGATTTCATGGATTGATGAGGCCATGTTTTTGTTTGGCCACCACTTAATCTTTTCCAACCTGCACCTATATCAGCTAGTAATGCCCGTCGGGGGAGGCGATGGTTAGGCATGCGCAGCACGTGACCTAGCCATCTCAATCTGTGTAACTTTATAGCCTCTTTGATTGATTTTCCCTCTTTGCCCAACACTCTACGTCTAACGTCAACATTACTTACCTTATTATACCACCTAACGCGAGAAAGAGATCGTAAACATCTGTGGTCAAAAACAGACAATCTCTTCATGTCTTCCGCTCTCAATGGCCACGTCTCACCACCATAGAGAAGGACGACCGAAAGCTGCTACCTTGACGTGGTGGTCGGGCTTGCATATCGCAATTACCCAACGAGCTACACTGGCTGGAACTTATGTTCCTGTAGGTCCTACCATGCCAGAAAGGTTGTTTGGATAGCGGTTAGACGAAAACGAGCTACCCAATCCAATGCCATGACTCAAACAAAATCACAAAATATCATGCCGGATCGGTCGGGGCCCGGATTAACGACGGCGCTTCTGCTGCCGTGTCACAGGGCAGAAGTGATAAATATGCTATTGAGACACATCAAATAAAAAAGAACAAACAAAAACAGGCCGTTTGTGACCGGCCTCAAGCAGTTGTCCCTTGGGCTCTGCGGTCACGCAACCAACTTCCATGGTGTGGGCAGCCAGGAAGTAACAATCGCCCTCACAATTCGAAGTGCACGCGAAACCTCTCTAATCCTCACTCATCTTTGTCTCCATCTTCATCTCCATTATCTTGCCTTCCTTTTACTAATGCAACAATTAAAACTGATGAGATTTTAGTATTTCAAAATGTCTTTATCAAAAGTTTAGTTTAATTGATCTTCCTTCTCATGACCTGTTTTGCAAGGTTGTATTTTTTCCACAACAGATGAGAAGTAGGCAGCGTTATGTCACTAATTAACAATCAGGGAACGAATACCGCCTCACCTAATTGAACTTGAGTAACTCGGTAGTATCATCCGTCGCCCCAACGCACACACGCACACATACAATAAGGTGGTGCTGAAAACTTAGCGCATGAGAAATCTATCCCAGATGACTGAATTCTAGCTAGCTAGTCAGCTAACTAAATAACCAGCAAATGACATAAATCACTCTGATCTCGTATCCGAGTAGTAGCAATCTAACCTGACGATCGCATTCAGAGGTTTGCTGGATATGCAATGCACTTCCAAGGATTCCCAACTTGGAATAAAAGATGAAAGTTGTTTAGTGCTTGTTATGATTTCTATTGGTTCATGAGGGCGAATAACATTTATTCGTGACAATTTTACTCATACATAATTAACGTAGTTGCGTCGGAGGCTATAGCAGAATGTACACCAACCACAACAAGGGAGATCTGGGTTCGTTACCCGGTCGATACACTCGATTAGTAAATGTGGAAAAGAAGGAAGGTTGGGAGTAAAACAACACCAGTGCTACTGAAACTTCAAAGATCGATGACTTTTGTTACACTTGGAAGTCAAGGAAACTTCGATGTAAAGTTCCACATTTAAACTTAGTCAGTAAGTCAGAAGATGAAGATTTGAAACAGATTTCAACATTTAGAGCAGTTGCACACTTTAAGACTTCTTGAAAAGAAAGCTGTAAATTAAAATCCTATGGAGTGAACTTTTAGCACTCTAGGGAATAAAATAACTTATGAATAATAATAATAATAAAAGGTCAAATGAAGATATTTGTATATTGCAAAAGGAAAAGAAAACAAAGTCAACTTACACCGAATTGTCCTTTACCAATAGGTTCTCTTTCTAAATGTAATTCAGCTGGATCAAGTTCAAATTCATCTAACCCCATACCAGCAGTAACAGGACTTTCTCGATCTTTAGTTGGTGGTGATCGAAGACGTACTACTAATCCTCCGGAATTATGTTTATGATAATGTATTACATCACTGATTGTTGGAAATGCATGCTTTTCAGATAAATAATATTGTGCCTCACCATTGGTTGTTGCTGTTGCTGTTGTTGATCCAATCTTGGGTGTATTTAAACCTGTTCCAGTTGAACCACCACCACCACCATTCATATTAGTACTAGCAGTGGATGTTGCGGTATTTCCACCACTGCCACCACCCCCACCACTACCGTTTACATGTCCATTAAGACTGGATGATTCTGTCCTGTGAATATGATAATGATGTACCTTTAGCTTCCCCGGTCTAAAACAGAAAACAAAACGAAACAGAAATCAAAGGGGGGAAAATTCTACATACGCTTTATTATTCTTAACAGTTAAAGAACAAATCAGAGATTTCCTAAGTGATTTCAGTTATAAAACCCAGGAGGGTGTACTGGACAGCTTTTTCGTCCTTGTTTTGGACTCCTCATCAGTACACATCCATGGTCCCACTCGCCAGGGATCGAACACACAGGACCTTTAGGTTACAAAGCAAGCTCATATACACCATTGAGATACCTGGACAAAATGCAAATGGTACATTGATTCTAACTTCTGTCACAATTCAAGATATACAACACCACCGCCAATCAGTATCATCAGCGAGTACTTGTCCTGCGTTGATCCCTGACTTCTTCAGAAAGAAAAAGGAAAATTTATCACAAACAACTTTCTATACTGCTTAATGTGCTAGTCTTTGTAGTTTATGAATTACATTCGATACATGAAAAATATTTAAATACCACCTTCCTTCATAAATGCAACAATAAATAACGGCGCATTAAAAGACAACTATAATCAATTGTAACATGAAGATGTAGCATTTAGCAACTTTAGCATAGGTTTTATTTACTAAAGCTGAGGTCGGTCCTACAGTTAACAGATGGCTGACTGTTGCATATATTGAACACACAGTACATGTATTAGTAATGACACGAAATCAAAGCTGAACATATGAAGAAATTGTGTTAGGAAACAAAACAATGCGAGGAAGCAGAACTACAGGACAGTGTACAACTGCTACTACTAATGGTAAGCACTTTATTCCAAACATCAATAATAATGATAGGGAATGAAATTTCAGCATTGTACATAATGCAACAATTCGTTTCGTTGTACAAATAAAGTATCAAAAATAATAAAACTGAAAAAAGTGAAGCCAGCAGGAAGAGTAATACATGCAATAATAATAATACTGGTTTTAAGTTGCTGTTCACCCACAGATTAAGTAGGTTTATAAGCTCTTTTCTGACATCTATCTTTCCACACAACACCTGAGATAAATATGGTACGGTTGAATTTTTATATTTAGCCATAAAAGCATAAATTCTTATGAATTTTTCTTCTGGTTTTACCCAAAGAGAAAGAACAAGAAAGTTGATAACAAAGAGGATGTTCAGAATCCTATAAGATGACTTTAAACAACTGCTTGCAAATATTAGAGCGTCTATCATGGAAAGGCCGGTTAGCTGTCTTTGATCATATGTGCATGCGTTCTGTCTCCCGTGTTAAGTGATATAATAAGTTGAGCACTATTGAGGTTAGGCCTCAGTCGAGTACTAGGTAGGCGGGAGGGGAAATCAATCAATCGACGAGGTTGTGAGGTTACACCGACTGAGAGAGATGGTTAGGACATGTGTAACGCATGCATTCCTAGCCTTCGCCTTTCTCGACGAGCAATTTTAACTAACATAAGTTCAGGCTGGAAAAGAGTTAGCTAGTGGTGGTCACATTAAAACATGGTTGCATCAGTCAATGAAATCCACTACAGGTAGTTTAAGCCAGCCAGTCACGTAGGAAGGTGTAAACTGGCTTCCTAGTTGGGGTCCTCAAGATGGTTAGGACCAATGAAGGCTAGAGACAAATAGTTGTTGATATGGCTCAAAATCGTTCTTAATGACTGACGCAGATGTTTTCACTCTTTGTGATTTATAATATCCTATAGAACTATATTGTTCTTCCATATTACTAATCTTTTTGCCTCATATTTCTGTTTATTACCTCTCTTTACTCTATTTTCTTGCTTTGTGTGCTATATGGAGTGTGGTAACAAGATATGAGACGACCGACAAAGATTGCTACAGAAACTAATACCAAGATAGATAATATTCGATTTTGAAATAATGGAGAAGATTTGTAGCTTAGGTGGATGATATTGAATTAGTTGTCTTATCTGAGTTGGTTGATTTAATTGCGAAGCTTTCGTCGTCCTTCTAGACAGCATCTTCAGCGCAATTTTTAATATAAAATGGACTAATTTAAATTCTCCACAAGTGATGTAATTGTATTTCATTCATGGAGAATTTAAATTAGTCCATTTTATATTAAGACTTGCGCTGAAGATGCTGTCTAGAAGGACGACGAAAGCTTCGCAATTAAATCAACCAACTCAGAGAACACAACTAATTCAATAATATTCGATTTATTTCCTATCACAGTGTGGTCGATATTACAAGAATGATGAGACTGAATCAGTCCATGCAAGTCTTGCTCACGCCTGGAACTAAAACTAACAGTCTGACATTTAGAGGGATCCAGTATAACAGCGCTTCATTAAGATCATTGGTTAGTCTCAGATATCCTCAGAAGAAGTAATTCAAGGGGAATTAAGCATTGTATATGATACTTTGATCGAAAATGGTTATCCTGACAAATTTATCAAGAAACACGTGACAAAGAAAGCGGAAAAGGACTACTCACCGTCTGTAAGCAAGAAGCCTTTATATGTACGACTACAATTCATTGGCGATATCCCAAGCGAGATAATTACGAAGAAATTAAGAAAATCAGTTCAAAGAACTTTTAATGCTGGTAAACTGCAAGTCTTATTTTCTACACGACCGATGGTGATTCCTCGATTGAAAGATGAAGTACCTAGACTAGCCACTTCAAATTGTATCTATCAATTTAACTGCGCTTGTGGAGCGAGTTATATCGGCCATTGCTCTAGGAACTTGATTTTTCGTGCTCACTCGAGAAACATATCACACTATGGCTAAGTAAAGGTGTTGTTCAAACCATTAACAGTTCGATATTGGACCATCTGGTGCAAACCTCCGCCACAAAGCCAGCGTGGAAGAATCCTTCTCTATAATCTACCGGGTGCTTAATAAATTGCCAAAAACATAGAGGTGCTGCATACTCCAAACAGCAGAGGCTATCGCAATTCGTGTGAAACAACCAGTGCTTTGTGTGCAAAAAAAGCAAGTCCAGCCACTACTACTGCCCTGGCCGGCCTTCAGTAGAGACTATAAATTCATGAATTTGTACTATTATCTTTCATAATTCTTCTGACATTCAGCTTATTGTTATGTTGATGCTACTGAGCTGTAATCTATCAATATCATTGATTTGATGTTATTTAAACATTAATGTCGTTCATAAGACTAATTCATTCATCCATTATAATGTATATATAATTGTAGAGCCTGATGATGAATTTATCGAAAAGAGTACTCTTTGTTCCGTGTCCATTCTTTTGAAAATCTCAGATAAGCCAATTATTCATATCAAAACAATCTAATGTAGAAACAACTGGGTTAGAAATTGTCAAATCATCAGCATATTTAGTGAAATTGACTTTCAAACAATATGATAAGTCTGGCAAAAGGGAAGTCACGTGAATCCAGTGTGACATGATTATGAACAATAAATACTGCTCAAAACGCTATCCAATTTAATAATCCTTTACTACTGTGTTATACTTTCATCGCATAAACTTACTTAAATTCGAATCATACTCTGTCACAATACCCAAATTTCACTGTAACATTAACTGAAATATCATCCCATCCAGTAAATATTATCAGTTGAATTGGATAGAATGCGATCCAAATAAGTCAGGGGACTACTGATTGCTTAATTACTTAAGCCAGTGAATCACACAAACACACACACACACACACAGGCAGGCACACACACATACACATCTGTCTAAATCAATCAATACCAGTAAGATGAATATCCCTCAAGATATTTTCAAGTATTGAAGAAAGCCACACACACACACAAAAAATGCAAATGAGGCAAATCAAAATGAGAAGAGAATAAAAACCAAAAATAATAAAAATGGATACACTTAACCTAATTATGTTAAATATTTTTAAGAAAAAAATAAAATAAAACTAGACACATTGATGTGAATTATCTTTAGCAATTAAGAGAATGAAGGTAGAAATTACAAATCAAGTTTTCTTTTGTGGTTTATAACAACATAAAACACCAACACTACCACCAACAATAATAACAATAACAATAGTTAGTATATTTGATGACAGGAATAATCGATTTTCTTCATTAGTAGTAGACCAAAATATATATATAAATAAAATATCGAGATGAGACAGAAATATAGTGTTGGTTAATTAGTTAGGAGAATACTAAGAATTTATAAGCAAAACAAAAAGCGTCTAGAATAACCAAAAGGTGTAAAGTGAACTGGTAGAATACTGTGACCATTCGACTTAAGCGAGTATATGATTATTATTATTATAATTCCCTTATGCTCCGAAAGGAACACTGGATTCTAGCAGCATATCTCATATCCATATTTATAGACAGCAAGATGGTATGGCTTGTGCGTCGATGGCATAGCGGTTAGGACGCTCGGCGACCATGCACATGGTCCGGGATTCGATCCCCGGCCACCGACGCACTCCTTTACCTTGCTAAGCCAGAAATAATGCTGGTGATGAGGAAAGGTTGGGCATGAGGCTAGCAACCCCATCCTGTAAAATAAACACTGCTACAGAAACTTCAAGCCACTAGCTTGAAGCCCTATGTTTCACTGGGGAACGTAAAGGGAAAAAGAAAAAAAGATGGTGTGGCTATGGGTTCACCTTTAGGCCTGTTACTTGCAAGTTTGTAAAATGCTCCATTGAAACCGACAACTTCTCTCTGTATAAAAAGGTACGTCAATGACACTTTTATCATCTGTCATAACAAATGTGACCTGAATAATGTCCTTCAGGTTTTTAATGGCTGCCACCAAAGCCATCGAATTTAAAATTGAAGCAGAAACCGGAGAGACAACGCCATTTACGCACGTACGACTAACAAAGAATGTTGAGATCAATATACTGGAAGCCTACGTGGAACGGCCAGTCGACAAACTTTTATATTCAGATACCCATTGATCGCAAGCGGAACCTGATAATATCTCTTGCGACCAGAATCCGCAGAATATGCAGTCACGAATCAGTAGAAGAGGAGATCACCGTTTTGAGGAAGATACTACTTGAGAATGGCTATCCACTATGCTTTATAGATAAACTTATAAAGCTCAAAATCAATAAAGAATAATCTATCTCTGTGTTAAAGAAAATGCTAAGCATGGATGTGACGTTCAAAGGCGACGTTTTGGCCGACACCCTAAAAAGAAGAACGTCTAAAGTCCTGAAAAGAACATTCTCTCTTGCTACATTACGATTAGTATTCTCAAGTTGCCCATTGTTCTTCAACAACTCCAAAGATAAACTACCGCATTTGACCACTTCTATGTGCATCTATCAATTTGCTCATATGGAGCGAGATATTTAGGTCGTTCAATGCGTGTATCATCTAAAAGAGTCAAAGAACATTATCCTGTTTGGCTAAGAAAAGGCAACGGTGGATTAATAAGGAGTGCTATAAGTGAACATATATTCAGCACTGACAACTCAGTAGGTAAGGAGAATTTATTCAAAGTCAAAAGAAGCCTCCGGAAAACGGTAAGCTTCCGTATACCTTGCATTACTGAGGCCTTAACGATCCGGATAGAAAACCCTGATTTATGTACACAGAAGAAACTTCTCCACTGCCCTCCTTCTACCTTGGGTATAATTCCAAGTTCTAGTGCTTTGTAAATAGTGTTTTTTCTTGTGTTTTTCTTTTGGATTTTTGATTGACATCTTAGTAACATCTTAACTAATCCTTTGTTTACTCTTTCTACCTACTACATAATTTATTTCGGACACGTGTCTCCATTAACATCCTACTTCATATTATGCAACCACTATCAATAGCTGCCAATCTTAACCCCCCACCCACCCTAGTTGCAAATTTGATAATTCATCACATTTTTGAAACATTTTGATGACGTAAACAATAACCCTAACTAATTTTTATTTTTGTTTGACAATCCTAATGTACACACACAAAAAATAATCATATATAAATGAGATTGTACAGCTAAGTGAATGAATTCGCCGAAAAGAGACTCTCCGTTGAGCTGTGTTGTTCTTATATTCATATCTCAATTTCACTCTTTTCTCAGCAATCCTCTTTACCTGGCGCGATGGATGCAAATAACCTCTCATTTTCTTTTTACACGATCTCCCCAGTGTCGTCCTCGGTCCAACTTTTCGTTTCCCATTCGCGTTCCCCTCAAGGGTTTGCTTGGTGCATGATGTTACCCAACGGTCTTCTCAGTGTGTATTCAATCCACCTCCATTTCCTTCTGCATATCTGTCGCGTGATAGATTTTTGATTAGTTTGTTTCCAGAGCTCCTCACATTGTTAATCCTTTCTGGCCGGTTATCTGATTTTCAGTATGCAGAGAACGTAGCTGTCGATGAAAGTTTGGAGTAGCCTGTCGGAAATGCTTTTGGTGGCTCACATGCACACCATGTCTTTTAACCACATAGAAAGCCTGAATTGACATTAGTGCGTATTTCCGCACTGATATCAGAGTAAATGAAGATCTGCTCTGCTTTTCCAATCTGATCTTGACTGCCTTCAACATCCTCATCCGTGCCACCTTGATAAGTGACAAAAGTGACTTCTGTTAAATATCTTTCATTGATGGTGATTGGTGCTTGTTTTTATTGTTGTTAATTAGATATCTTTATCACTTCTGTCACCTACAATGTTTTTCACTTGTAGAGAGAGCTTCAAGCCCTCCAGCTATCAATAAGCTAAAATCACAAAGCTTTCTATAAATAGATAAATAATTCAAAATTGAATTAGAAGGAAATATCCAAAATTCTTCAGTACATCGAAGAACAAGCAAACATAAATGCGCACGGCAGTAAATATTGATACAATAATCAAACCAAAGATTATATATTGTATATAAGATGACAGAAGTTTAGAATCAAGAAGAAGAATTAGAACAAAATGATTCGTGTGGAAGCGAAAAGATTTGTAAGGTATAAATGAAACACTGCATACACAAAAGAACAAAAAAAGTTGGAATATTTACAGTGAGTTCAACTAGGCTGAAGATAACAAAATTTTGATGTAAAAAAAATCAAATTCCAGGTATCAGGGTATTGTGACGTTGACATCGCTACCTCTTTGCTTTCAGTGGCACTTGCAAAGTGAACTACATACAGTTTTGCCTGTATAAAGTCTTGATTCACTTCGACTGATTGTCGTATGTCAGTCAGTTGCCTTAAGAAAGTGCAATTATGAATATCCCTCCTACTTTGCAAACAGTGCTAAACCAATTCGTATACTTACACTTTAATAATAATAATAATAACCCTCGTGACTTTAGGTTATTTATCAGCGCTATTTTTTATCCCGATAAAGACTCAGATCTTGATCTGTTTAAATTAACCAAGGGAAACAAGTGTTTCAAGTCCCCACAGAAAAATGCCTGGTTCCGATATGAAGCTTTCAAACTTTCATACAAAGTGGATATCAGTCGAACATGTTCAACGTTGCTTTGTGTACTACCATCTCTCAGTGAGTTTTCAAATAATTGGCAGGGACATAGAACATGTTATAATGAGATTTCTGAGTATATGCTAATGCTGAATTAGATAGTACACATCGTTTATAAGCAGTGAAATGGTTGAATGTGTTAATCACTCCCCTTGTTTAGCTGCTGATGATGTCTCACGTGGACGGAAGCTTAAGGCACATCTAACATGTGTCACCTTTGCCGCAGGTGTCATCATCACCTATAAAATAGCGAGTAAAGAGTGCATCAGTTCTTTATCTCCTACTGTACAACTGTTAGACTTAACAAATGAAGGTACATATGAAAGGATTAGCGGCTTTTATCATACATAGTACGATTCAGCCGTTCCTTATATGGTGAGTAGTAGTGAATTTAGGCACGAAACTTTAGGTAATGCGGGAAAATCAATGGAAGAGGCACCACTGATTTAGACAGCTGCAATATGTGCTACGCATGCTGAAACACTACTTTAACGACGAGGAATATTAGCTGAGATAGGATAAGGCTAGAAAAGAATTAAAGGTACTTAGACCGAGAAATTGGTAGCAGTTCATGGAATTATTTAACGACGTGTGTGTAGGCTACCTTAATAAGGACTTTGAAACATGAAATGTTAGTCGTTAGGGACAGTCGGTAGCATGCCTCACAACCGATGACAATTTTTTAATTCCTTTACGTTCATAGTTGAACATAGGGCTTCAAGCTGAAGGCTTGAACTTTCGGTAGCAGTGGTGTTCATTTTTACGGGATGGGGTTGTTAACCTCATGCCCAACCTTCCCTCTTCACCAGTCTTATTAATGGCTTAACGAGGTAAAGTAATGCATCAGTGGTCGGGGATCGAACCCTGAACCACCTGAGTGGTTGGCGAACATTCTACCGCTGTGCAACCGACGCACCACCGTTGACAACGGTGAAGATTCACCTGCCATTTATCATCGGTGTGATAATCTTTACTAAGTTACTCGCCTACCCAGACATTTTCGCCCATTTTTATGTCTTAACATATCTGCTTTATTACTTTATGGGTGCTTTTCTGATATGTGACAATTTGAAATGACGAACGTTTGCACAAAGTTTCACGTTGTTAAATCAGTCAGTTAGCTCATACGATGTTTTCTAAGTGACTTGGACCCATTTGGCACATATGAACAATTTCACAAGCGTTAATTAATATCGTAACTATCACTGAAGGTTAACAGTGTCGAAGTGAATAAATATATGTAGCTATTTTCGTTTCTACATAATCATTATCATACCATAACTTTCTTTAGGGTAACCTGAATGTTAGATCATATCATGTCACAAGATGTTTACATTGTCTCAAAAAAGTAATATACTTCGTCTACGGGAAAAAAAACTGACATTATATGAGGGCATTGACTGACTTGGAGTGACTGGCTGAAATGCGAGACAATATATCTAGCTAAAAAAGCATTCAACACATGACTGAAAATATATATATATATATCTATAAACTATGTTTATAGAAGCTACAGAGACATAGAGATTTCCACAAACATAGTCCTCACGGCGCTCAATGTTTGTGGAACTACTAGATCTAAATCTTGGTCAGAGTTCAAATAAAACATGACTGAATAACTTTGAAAAAAAAGCTAATAATAATTACTACTACATATATATGAAGTGTTAAACTATTATGAAATTAATTTCCAAAAATATAACTTACGCTTCAGGATCTTTTGATGTAACTGACAAAGTGTATGTATTCTTTTTGCTAACTGAATCACGTACGAGGAAACAGCCTTCACGATTCTCATCTAACAAAATAGCTTCAGCTTGTTGTCTAGTAATATCTTTGTAATACCAGCTATCAGTGCATAAAAAAAGAAAAGAAAAAAGAAAAGTAATAAAAACAACTGAACATTGTTCACTTTAGTTATTTATTTCATTCCTTTGCATTTCGAGTGGAACATAGGGCTTCACAAGCTACAGTTTTGGAGTTTCGGTGGCAGTGAGTTTTTTTATTCTTACGGGGTTGCTAGCCTCACGCGCAACCTTCCCTCTCCACCGGCCTTCCAATCGGCTTGGCGAGGTTTAGGAATGCGTCGGTTGAGGATTGAACCTTGAACCACATGAATGGTTGGCGAACACTCCCCCCCCCCTCTGAACCACTGACTCCACTAGACCACTTGTATCACGAACACTGTTTACTATATTAGATACTAACTATCAACTGGCCAGGTGTATTAAATTGTTTAGTGTTTGTATTGATATAAATTTATTGAAAAAGAATAGAGATTTAATATTAATAATGAAAAGTGTATCGGTGGTTCAGTAATATAATGCTCGCTAGTGATGCAAAAGATCTGGGTTCGATTCCCAGCAAATGCATTCCTAAGAGATCGCCTAGTTAGTTCACCAGCCGGTAATAAGTCCGATAAAGAGGAACGATTAGGTGTGAGGTTAGAAACCTTATCCTGTAAAAATAACACCACCGCTAACTGAAGTTTTAAAGATCACAGTTTTGAAGCAGTCTGTTCAACTCGGAATGTACAGGAATATTTAAAAACATGATAGTGAAAATGGCAAACGTACAAATGTTTTTTGCTTCATCCAAAGAATACAAACAGTTTAAATGAGTAAGTAAGCCTAGTTTGCAAATGAATTCTGCTAATCGTCTGGTCTTTCTTTTAAGTATTAGAAGTGAATGCCTGAAAACTTATATGAGAATTAGAAACTAATTAAAGTCAGTTTGATTTCTTTAAAAAAAATTAATTATTCAAAAGATAATTTTTACTAGACAGTGAACCAGTAACTGCAAAGTCTACCTTTAGAAAATCATGTTACTTGATAAACAGAATTACCAACAGTGGTATTATATGGTGAGTTATATTGATATTAGGCGTAGAATCTTAAGTAAGGAGGGTAGGTCCATAGATGAGAGTGAGAAACTGTTTCGATTAAGATGGCCAGGAAAAGTATTATTCCCGCCGAGCCATCATCTTTATCGATAAGCAATGCCCCTCAACACAGGATTAGATTGAAAAGAAGAGTTAGGAGTAGTCAAATAAGAATAATGCAATTAATCCATGAGGTGTTTGATTTGAGCCAGTCACATGAGCAGATTTAAACTGTCTTATTGGGATCATCAGGATGTTAAGAACCAATAGCTTGAGACTGGTGGTGGTGTGACTCAAGATCTTTCTCAATGGCTCAGACACATTCACTCTTTGTAATATTTGAGATCCATTATGTCCTTTTTTTCTTTCATGTAGTTTTTTCGTACATTTCTGCTCAGTATAATTTTTAGTTGTTTTTTTTCTACCTTTGAGTGTTTTATATGGAGTGTGGCGATTTGGACTTCTGCACTTGCTTTGCAAAGGTTTTACGCTGAAACTCGGTTAGTAAGAATTATTAACAGAATGATTGTAGAATCCGTTACTGTTATTGTTGTTGCTGTTTGCTATTTCTCTATCGAAAAAAAACACCTATTTTCTAGCTTTTGTGGCAACGGCATATTTACAAATAATAGCTAGTGTTCAAGCTTGTTTCAAGTTAATAGCATAAAAGTATCTCATCCGATTTTAGCTCGTTGTATTCTCTTAGCTGACTGGCATACCATGAAGACGAGGGTGCTTTGGCATTGATAGGTAAGTGACATCTTAGGAAATGCTACAAAACCAGGTATTATGTTGCTAACATATCCACATCAAACAAGTATTTACCCCATGAAACCCAACAAATTTCTAGCATACGCATATTCGAAGACAGTAGATGCAAAGTTATGTCAAAATGAGTCACATTTTAGTGAAACAATAATTTTTATTACTGCAGTGTAAATTACTGAGAAGAACTGATAGACTACCAATTGTTCAACCAGTGATAAATTCTTACTGGTCACTCCATTTTTGACTCACATAGTCACAATATCACTCCGGTAAGTCTTGTTCACTGCCTTCACCCGGCAGGAGTATTCCTCGCAGAAGTGGAAGGGCGAATGAGAACGTTTGGCGCTTGCGACCATACTATTGGGAATCTAGATCTACCTAGGAGAGCTGGGAAACCTTGATTCCAAACTTATGGTGTACATGGGCTCCAGAACTACAAAGGATCGAATGAAGTATGAATTTGTTTTAGTCACCAGCATCCATGGGAATGTAACTCCTGTCGCTGCTCCACTGCCCTGTGAATCAGAAACTCCCGGGTAGTTGTTTAAGGCAACCACCTGCTTCGGCCTAGGCATCCGGACAGTATCCCAGCCTACTCACAAATTATGGGATTCTGTGTGGTGCATCTCTTCGCATCCATAATATGTCAATTTTGGGTTTTAATAAACTAATAAGCAACAATTTCACTTGCTGGGCGAAGAAAACTGTCATTCGTAGGCAGCAGTATATGTCCCTGTCACACGGGATCACATACAAGCCTGAAACAGACATCATTTCTGTGAAATTCACACCCACCCTTCTTAGCTTCCGAAGTGTTATGCGCATACTTGGATTTAACAAAATAAACTCATTCAACTAAACCCTCCTGTGACACTGATATCATCACGTGTCCAATGTATCAATGCATGCACTCATAGGATTATTATTTCCAAATACAGGAAGAAAACGTCTGAATCTCACAAAACAAGATCTTTGTGTAAGTAATACGAGTAACAGAGACTAATAAAAATTTGTTGAATAATAAAAAAATTTTTAAATCGAAATGTCTGATTTCCTCAACAACAACAAAAATCCAACTTTAATTTCTCGGTGTAAACTTTCATAGACGAAGGTCGCCATCAAACTATTACAACTATTACATATTAAAAATAACAAAATATCAACGACTGAAATAAACTTACTCAAATGAATTTAGACTATTTGGTTTGTGAACATAATTTGTAGGCACATAACCTAATTGACCAGCCATATTTCTAACATACCACCATTGAGCATTACTCTGATTGACGACATAATATTTTTCACCTTTTTGTAAAGGTAATTGATTTTCTCTTACAGGATTATAATTATGTACTGCAATGACTGTATTCTCTCCTTCATCCTATAGAAAGATAATATACAAATAGGCGGAAAGTAGCTGTTATCATTTTGAAAAGAAAATAAAATAAAGCAAGAATGTATATACACACAAAATAAACAAACATTAAAATACACGAAAGAGGATATATGACATCTTACATTTCCTGTATGCTCCTCAAGCAAGCCTGTTTAAGTCGCTGGGCTACCCCTAATTGCCATCCAGTATAATGTAGGCATAAGGTGGATCGATAAGAAGACTACAGAAGATCAGGATTTTGCGGATGATCTATACCTGATGTCAAACAAAATCGAAGACTTACAGGTGAGGTCTCTGTCTGTCTGGATTCAACACAGAACTTGTCACCGAAGTGCAGCAGTTCGAGTTGCCACGTTCCAAAGAGCACACAAAGGTAGACAGGAAAATGAGTGAAGAGAATCAATAGAGTTTTGACAAGTATAAGAGTGAAACAGAATGAGTAATGGTAGAAAGGAATATGACACTGAATATTACAGAGACTGAATACATCTGCACCACTGACAACGATTTTGAGCCATGTCACCTAGTGTCCCCAGTCATTGATTCTTAGAGTCCCGAGGGCCCCAACCCGGAAGTCTGCATCTCCCTACCTGACTCAGTTTAACTGTCAAGCATTTCATGGATTGATGAGGCCATGTTTTTGTTTGACCACCCCTTACTCTTTTCCAGCCTGCACCTATATCAGGTGAGGAATAAAAAGTTTGTAGAAGGAGCAACGAACACAGGACTTCAGGTGAATATAGAGAAGTCAGAGTTGATAAAGATAACCAATCGACAACAGTAAGCACCAATCACTATCGAGGAAGTAAATTTGAAAGAGATCACGTCCTTAATTTATTTGGGTAGTATCACTGCAACTGCAAGTGGCACGGATCAAGCTGTCAAAACCAGTTAGGATCGGATAAGCAAACCAGGTGTTTGTTACTCTGAAATCGGTTAGGAAATCTGCACCCAGCATAAGGAACGAAATTCAGATTTCCAACACCAAGGTTAAGTCAGTCAGCTCTTTTATATAGGTCAGAGACTTGGCGTGTCAGGAAAGGCATTTCCTACAGGTTGCTTCAGACTGTCATCAACAGCTGCCGTGGCTGGCTCGATAGCGAAGACCAGGTTGCCGACCAGAAAGGATTAGCAACAAGGAACTCTGGCAACGGATCAACCAAGAACCTATCGCCCAACAAATATGCAGAAGGAAACGGAAATGGATTGGACACACTCTGTGGAGACCCTTGGATGACATCCCACGCCGGCTGGTTGGCTGGATTCAACATAGAACTTGGCACCGAAATGCAGCAGTTCCAGTTGCCACGTTCCAAATAGCACACAAAGGTAGACAAGAAAATGAGTGAAGAGAATCAATAGAGTTTTGACAAGTATAAGAGTGAAACAGAATGAGTAATGGTAGAAAGGAATATGAAAGATTACAGAGACTGAATACATCTGCGTAAGCCATTGACAACGATTTTGAGCCATGACACCTATTGTCTCCAGCCATTGATTCGACTGCCTCATCCGAACTGATAGATGCTAGAAGACTTATTCCGGCGAGCTCCGAATTCAATGAGGAGCGAAAGCTGCACAATAGGAAACTTACGAAAAGTCTCCGCAAGGACCGTGAACAGTGGTGGTTGACAAAGGCGAAAGAGATGGAAAAAGCATCGGCGATAGGCAACACTAGGCAACTCTTTAGGCTCACCAGGGAAACGGGTGGGAGAAGGCAAATCATAAGTGAGACTATTTCTGAGAAAAATGGCTCCTTAATCACACGCCAGGCAAACCCTTAAATGGAACCCAGCTGGGAAACAAAGAGTTTGCCTTGGGTCCGAAACTGACAAGGAGAAGATCGTTTGGGGGGGGGGGAAGATTGTTGCTTAAGGGCAGTCGTGAAGCCAGCTAAAGAGGACTGCAGAGAACAGGACAAAATGGAGATGTGGTGTTGAAGCCCTAAGTACCAATCGGAACCCAAAGGGAATAATTAAACTATATTGTATAAACTGCTTGCCATTTCTTACTGCATTAATTATCTTATTACGCTTTTAGATCACTATATGAACTTGCACACATTTTTTAGTTTGTTTTCAACGCAGTGCAGAGAATTTCTCGAAGGAAATGATGAGAAAATAACGTAGAGGACTGGATATTGTTTCATATGGAACAACACAGAGCCACTGTACGATGAGTAGATATTATGCAATACAAATACGCTTAAAATTGTATGATATGTGTTAACATATTCCCTTGAATAAAGCTGTTATTGTTGTTATTAAAAACGAGGTGTAGTGATAAAATAATATAAAGCATAGGCACGTGGCCTCCAAGTGAGACGTTAAAAAAAGTTCTTAAAAAAATAAGGTAGGATATTAGTAATAAAACCTTAGCGCATCTTGGAAGACAAACGACAGAGGACGAAAAATAAATAACTACAGGACAGCAAAGTCTTCCCAACAAACAGTATGCTTCTTTGCATCATAATGAAACACGATTATCGATTACGAATTGCACATATCGTCTACATCTCTCGTGAAGCTTGCACAACCAAGTCCGATGATAAGTGACTCTGCACGGTGTCACAGCTTACTGAAATTACCGTAAGGAATTCCCCCTCCTGCCCCTAAATCTTCATACAACTAATACTGCATAAGTCTTGTGGATAGTCTTCTTATATAGAAGCTAGTCCTTGTTTGAGAGTTAGTGGCTCACGCACAAACGGCTGACACCTTATAACACACCTGTGATGTAAATTAATTTCTCTCCCGTACATTTACGTGTACTTTAGTTTCCTCACATTTTTTCTACCTTCATGCGTGCTTTTATGAAGCGTAGAAACTTGGACTGGTGCACTATTGTGAAACGTTTCACACTAATAATTTAGTTCACCTATCATCTATCACAGCAGACATAAGTGCTATGTAACTACTTCTATTTTAAGTTTGAGCTTCTCCAGGCAACAAGACAACCACCACCATCCAGAGAAGTACGCCTTAGTAATAAGTGACTAAACTAACAGTATTTGTCAAAGAACACTAGACCAAAAAATTATTGTTTAGTATGAGACGTGACTGATTAAAACAGATAATGAATGGCACTGAAGAATGTTAATAATGTCTATCATTACACACTAAAAGAGAAAAAAATGCCTACATATGAGGAGATCCGTTACTATTGCAAATGAAGAAGTATATAACGCAATGAAACTATCATCTTTAATATCTTAAGCAGGAGATAAATATGTAATCAACTCCAACAAATTGGAACTAATTTGGTGTGATTGCGTCCTCTGAGCTGGGTGATATAATTGCGACGCTTTCATTGTCCATTTAGGTAACATCTCCATCGCAAGCTTTAATGTTATTTCAAAATTGAGACTATATTACGAGACCAAATGTGAAATACAGGTAAACACTATGAAGCTGTAGTCCACTGATCTCGGCACTAGACTTCCAAACATGTAGTTACAGGGTTAGAACTTCGCTCCACCTACAGAGGCTTGGACAGCCAGGTAGTAACACTAGTCCTAACACAATAGGTGTAGCTTATTGCCAACTACGTACAGTTGCAAAAGGGTTGCTGAGTAATATTACATATTTTCTATAAAATAGGTGAGTACGTTTAGATAACCAGTTAACCAAAGAAAACCTTAAACAAAATCAAAAGTGAATACTTAAGAACAGTATACAAAGACTGATAATCCATATAAAGACGGTAAGATATAAGCTGGTTGTAACAGATCATAACGGAAAGCTTATCTCTAGGACGACAAGAACCTTGAAAACAACAGTTACTACCGCTCAACAAACCATATGCATGTCAACCAACTTGCGTATGAACTACACCTGTTATTTGAGGGTCGACGATTCCACTTTGCTGACTAGACCTCGGCAACTAGATCAGGATTTTAAGCCATGACTTTCTGGTTGAAATTCAAATGCCTAGTCCGCTGATCCACTTTAAGAATCCTAAGTAAACTTATCAAAATTCGGTTAGCTTTTTGGCTTTGGTGCAAAATTAAAAATATATTCAGACAAAACGATTCTCTACAACATAATTCTGACATTTTAGGGACTACGGTGTGGCTCATTGACATAAGCACTCGACTTCCAACCAGCGTGTCACAGGATCGCATTTAGTTCTACCTACTTCAGACCGGTAGTATCATCAGCCATCAAGCACGAGTGTGACTCACCACCTAGTACCGGGTAACTGAGATCTAACTAGCTAACAACAAATTCAAAAAAAACTTTGAAGAAATCACAGATCACCACATAGAAGACACTGAGTTTATGAGATGAAAGGTATTCTTACTTTTGTTAATTAACACATGCTTTCCTTCAATATTACAGTCCTGCTTACTTTATTGGCATCAAAACTGGTAGAGAATACAAAATTAACTAAATTGTACCAACAAGGATTATTCGCTTTCAGTTGAGAAACAATCACCTGTTAATCAATAATGTATGCTAAAGAATCTGTGTATTGATTCACCTTGAAAATTTGGAAACCTTGGATACAGTAAGCGATACACGAGTAAAATATAACTAAACCTGTTATATCATGTAAAAGGGAAAGCGTAAGACAGAAAGTCAAAGACAGAATAAGGGATAGAAACTGATGAAAGCATGAATGCAATCAGTGACAGATGAGAATATGAGAACATGGAATGTTCACACGATGTTCGAGGCTGGAAAGGCTGCTTTGATTGCAAAATAAAGTGAGGAGATATGGCAAAGAAGTCCTAGGAAACTACTGAGGGTAGATGGAATAGAAGTGGACTCTACAAATCGTTAACTGGAGAGTCGACAATCTACTCCAACCATCCAGAAGACAACCAAGAGCACACTCAGGGGAAGGTTATCATGATGTCACCAACAGCATCGAAAACTCTTATCCAGAGGGAACCAATCTCTTCCATAATAATGGAAGATTCAATTCAAAAAGAAGAAAAGTTACAGTTATCCAATGTAGTGTTACGCTCGAACAAACAATGCAGGTCAAGAGTAGAAGGAAGACTTCTACAGACAATTCTAAACAGTAATGGACCAGACCTGAAATGGTGATTACAAAATCTAATCGGAACTTAAGGATATAATAAAAAAATTGTAATAATATATCACACTGTTGAAAGAAGTTTTACCATCAATGACTTTCATTTGTCGTCTACCTGCTGCAAGAATAATACTGATAGTCAACGGTATTTTCAGGTATAACAATGACGCTTTGTTGATTTCGTATGAAATGTTTTCATACCTCACTGCAGTAAATTTTTGCCATGATTTATTCAATTTAACATATTTATAAGAAAGTGGGCAGAGTAAAAACAATTACGAATTATCTACGGATGATTTGCTTGATCAATGTCCGACTAACTCAATAAACCTTAGCAACCTGTCGAAACCAATACTAATTAGCTTGCACGTCCATTCTCAAAAAAGGGATTATGATATATTGAAATCAATTTATACGGCATTAACAGTACAATTATATGGATGCATCAAACAGAAGTATAAATGATATAAATAGTTTCTATTATGAATGCACTTCAGAACTCGAGAAATAAATCAGCTCTTACCATATCAAAAGTTGGTTGAATATAACGCAAAGAATGTCCTCGATTCTGATTCATTCCTGACCGACGTAATGCATTATTTATATGCGAAAATTGGCCAACATTACTACTTGCAAGCATGGCAAGTTGTTGTTGCTGTTGTTTTTGTTGTAAGAGAAACTGCTGTTGCTGTTGTTGTATCTGAAATAAGGTTGAAGGCGCAACTGAACTGGTTACCGCAGTAGGCATTAACACTCCTGTAACAGGAGCTGAAAGACCAGGTGTTTGATGAAGTACAGGTAACCCAACGGCAGAAGTCAGTGGAATAAACGAAGCTGCAGTGGAAGCAACATTAGTAGAATTCAAATCAGGGACAGACAATGGATTAGATGTGAGTTGTATATTTGAATTAAGCTGAACTGTAACCAATTGAGGATTGGAGATAGGAAATGAGGCTTGTGTGTTGGGCACAGGACTGGTTGTAGTCACAACCTGAGTCATTTGAGGTTGAAAATTACTTGAGTCAACACCTGCAGCTGTACGCCAAAGTTGTTCAATGACAACCGATGGACCCGGTTCGTTAGTTGGCTGACATCCCATAGAACGACGGTTAATATCATCACAGCAACTATATCTACCAGGACGCTTCCAAACACCGGGATGATAGCGTGGTAGGAAAGTAGCACCACGTTCACGTGTATCTGAAATATTCACAAACATTTCAAAAGACATGCTCGTAGAAATGATTACGCATAAGAATAGTTAATGAAAATTTAGTTGAAATAACTTACAAAATCGGACTAAACTAATCCAATCATCTCTTTCAATAGCAGAATTCGCAACAATGTACAATAGGTACCAAGTACTGGAAATTGCATCCTCTGCATAAGCAACCTTTTAATTAAAATAAGGATTTGGATAGTTTTACACATACTTGAAAGGCATTCTTTTTATTATCAAGCTCATCATCTTGTACTTTTTCAATAAACTTAACATGACTCAGTAAAAGCTGACCTTTTTCTTTACCACGACTCTAAAAACAGATAACATTGAATCTCTTTTAAAATAGACTTACTCCACCACTAACTTCAAAATACCGGATACAATATGGTTGCAATACAAATTCGCGCAGTTTGTAATTATCACGACCGAATAACTTCTTATTTTGAGATCTTTTTGTCATACGAGAAACCTTGAGTTCTTGATCTGTAGAAATCATCATTTATGATCTGTTAAACAAAAAAAAGAATCAAAAGTCTGCAGAAATCTTTTGGTTTTTTAGACAACCTATTGAAATGAACTCGTGAACTAGGGACTTCGAATTTTAAAAATGAACGAAAAAACATGTTTGAAGGATAGGAAGAAAACCAGACTACGAGAGAGAAGAATAAATTCCTAAGGAAAACGATAACAAGTGTGATACGAAACTATGCTTATTAGGTGAGTTTTGGTAGGACAAAATACCTGTGCAGTTAGAAAAGCAATCTCTTACAAAACCAGAATTCTTAATTTAATATGATGCATTCTACACGCATTATCTGATAACGTTACGGTCACCAATTCCTAAATAATACACATATACATACACACCAATAAGCAAATAACCACAAAATTCGTAAAACTTGAATTTAATCCCTACTTGGTAGCTCTTAAAAAGTTTAGTAATGCTTTAAAACTGTCATAACCTTTTATTACTTCACTCATTAACTTATGGAAAATAGGGAGTGGATTATACATGATAATGTATTTAAAAAAGAAAAGAACTCAATCCCTTATTAACCAATGAAATATTTTACGTGGTAGAGTAACAGATGCTTCCTAAATTGGATGAACTGGAACAGACTATAAATGTACCTCCAGCAATACGTTAAAAACACGTTTCTGGATTTCCAAGTAATTTATGCCGACAGACTGAGTTTGCTGATCATATTCACTCATTTTACTCATTCTTGATCAACATCTAATTAAGTAGGCATACTTCCTAACTTAATAGTGGTCGACGCCAATCCAAGAACTATACTGGCTACTAACCATTGTAGAAAGGGATTAGAGGTCTTTTTCGGAGTAACCACTGAATTCGAAAATGTGAATATTACATCCATACTACAGAAGGGGGTAGCTAAACATTTATGTGAAAACGGGTGATTTTCACCAAAGACTGAAGTCACATTTATTACGTTGTACAAAGATGGGAGCGGTTAGTAACATGGAGGCGCATACACTGTGTAGCATTTCCTCTTATCTTACTTTACTACTGCGAGATATGACGATTGAGGACTGATACGAAACGATTAGTGGCTCTTACTATGCATGCTTAAGTTAAGTGGGGCTATGTGGTGAGCAATAGTGAGATTATGCGCGGAACGTTAGATAAAGAGGAAAAGTAAATGTATGGAGTTGTAAAGAACCATTGACTAAAGCTGGAATATGCTCTACGCACATTGAGTTACTGCCTTCTTCAACGAAAAATATTACTTAAAATAAGAGTAAGTTTGACAATAGTTAGCAATAGCTACAACAAAAAATGGCACCTAACCTTCAAGTCATTGTTTGTTGGTCTGCACTATAAACGGAGGTATACACTGCTTTCCTGGGTGCATTAGGGTGTTAGGAATCAAAGGTTTTAGACTCTCGATGATATAAATCAACATGGTTCACAATGGTGCAGATACACTTACTGTTATATTCCAAATTATGAAAATATTCACTAATCATTTAAATATTGTTTTATAGTTCTGTCTGCCAGATTTATGGCATTTCTTCTGTAATCTTTTTGGTGCTTTCTTGAGTTTGGCATGTGGTTCGCTCCCTCTGTCAAACGCAAGATGATGCTACAGGAGTGGACTACATTGACACGCCTAGCTTAAAGATAGACAGGAACGAAGTCGTAGAGCGTGTTGTCCACTTCACTTATTCGGGAAGTTGCATCAGCCAGTGACAGCGGATTGATCCCTCGCGAAATTTCAGCACGAATAGAGAAGGCTCATTTGGCATATGCCAACTTAAGCTATCTCTCGCTTAGTAGACGTGATATCCGGCTAGCTGGCTGACTATCAACCAAAGGGCGCAGTAGATCGCTCTGTCCTCCTTTATGGCTGGCTGTCAGCGAGACATGCCCATTGGAAGTGGAAGACATGAGAAGGATGGTTAGCTGTTTTTGATTATAGGTGTATGCGTTCTATCTCCCGTGTTAAGCGATATAATAAGTTGAGCAATACTGAGGTGGGAGGAGGAATTAATCGATGAGGTTGTGAAGTGAGAGAGACGGTTAGGACATGTGTAACGCATGCATTCATAGCCTTTACCTTTCTCGACGAGCAATTTCAGCTAACATAAGTTCAGGCTGGAAAAGAGTTAGCTAGTGGTGGTCACACCAAAACATGGTTGCATCAATCAATGAAATCGACGACAGTTAGTTTAAGCCAGCCAGCCACCTAGGGAGGTGTAAACTGGCTTCCTGGTTGGGGTTCTCAAGATGGTTAGAACCAATGAAGGCTAGAGACAAATAATTGTTGATATGGCTCAAAATCGTTCTCCATGACTGATGCAGATGTTTTCACTCTTTGAGATTCATAATATCCAATAACACTATATTGTTCTTACATATTACTATTCTTTTTGCATTATATTTCTGTTTATTACCTCTCTTTACTCTATTCTCTTGCTTTGTATGCTACATGCAGGGAGAGTGGGAACTCGAACTGCTGCATATCTGTGCAAAGTTCTGCGTTGAAACCAGTCATTCAGCTTTTCTGAAATGTAGCAGGCTGAATAAATATACTTTCATGCCTAGCTTTATGGTAAGACATCACTCACTTAATAACATGCAATCAAAGTTTATTAAACGGTCATGGGTAGTATCACGTGAACTGACTGATGACAAAAGACTGATTCTAATGAGCTGACAAATAATAGTAGTAGGTGATGAAAATGGAGATACAGGAATCGGTACTACACTATACCCATCAACTAATTAGGTCTATTAGGACAGCTGACTACGATAAGTAGGTCATTCTTTGATAAGGCTAGCTTTCTAGTGGCCTCTAATTATAGAGGTTGAACTACATCTCACAGAGCAATTCAACAAGTACACAACCAGTGATGCAGATATCTACATTTAATCGAAGTGTAGACTTTTTAATTTCTGCACTGGAGTAAAGAACCTGATAGCTGAACCTTAAAGTGATGAGTGCCTTTAGTTAGATGTGTGAGAATGAGAATCACTTTCTTTGATTTAAGTCGATCATTGGTTATTCCGATTCTCCAGAATAAGTAAAAGTCGCCATCGAAATGACCGCACTATTACTTTCATTACGTTTAAGATTAGATGACTTATAATCATTCGAAATCTAATTGTATCCAAAAACACGAAAAAATCAAGAGCACCTCTAGGTAAGAAATGGATGCTTTTGTCTCCACATTCTTATGGGTTTTATGATAAGCGGTGTTCAATACTAAATAAATATTGACTTGGTAGTAGCTTTTGACTACTGGTAGAAAAGAGTATTAGAGTATATGTGGAAGCAGACATAGTAGACCAAGGGGTACATTCACTAGTAAAAATTCACGGAAATATTTAGCGACCGTTTCGTTTAACCAAGTTTTCCCTTAGATGACAGAGTTTTACTATCTCGCATATAGCTTTCATTTTAATACATACATAAAGAAGTGACTTATCATTCATTCTGTTTACCAATCATTGAAGGCTTTGTCAATGCCCAGAACTGGTAAGTTGACAATTAATAACTCCGTTTAGTCTCTTAAGTAGATGGAGTAGTGTTTCCCCCCACTTATGCGACAATTGGCATATTGACAATAAAGATAAATCAAATACACACTCGTGACGAAAATAAAAGGTGAAGATACTTGGAATGCCAACCCAGATCTTAATTCACATTACGAAACTCAATCTTACCGTATCTACGTCACACAAACATGTCTGGAAGCTTTTGGAGGAAGGGCTATCAATACGAAGAAACAGTACGTGATGCCTGGCAGTGAAAATAAAGCCTAATATCATGGAGACGCCAAAATTCAATTACATAGGGTTGAACAAAGTTTAAAAAAGGGTTACACTGCGTGTTGTACGGCACTACATCTGCCGATCCCTCGCAAGCAGGAACATGTGTGACTTACCCTTCCATATCATGCGTCTTTGGGTTCACAAAAGAATGAAAAGGCAAATGTAAGATACCAAATGCCACAGACTACGCCACTAATATGTGGTATGAGAAAGGCCTTCGACACATTCGATAAACTAAAAAACCCAACAGCTAAGACTCCAAGGACGAAGCGCAAACTTTGAATTGCCGCACTTGCATGGTAAAAATTAGATTGTTCAGATTCAGATTCATATGATAAGGATAGAAGGCTCTTGTGGCCTGTGTTAAACCTTGCAAAATATGTCTCTGCAAAGATCTAACTTCTCTTTGAAAGCATTCACCGATGGAGCTGATACTACTGAATCAGGTAAGGAGTTCCAGTCGTTGACCACTCCGTGAGAGAATCTAAGTTCTGCACGTATTTTAATCGTCCTCGGTTTGAGCACCTTTTTGCGCTGACCCTGTAAATGTATCCTAGAAGGGGAGAAAAGTTTAGAAAGTATACGGTTTGCTAAAATTAAGCCACCTCTCTTCCTTCGGTATGATAACGGGAAGAGATTTAAATGCTCCATCCTCTTATCATAAGGAAGGTGTGAGATACCACTAAGTCATTTCGTTCCTACTCTCTGTACTCTTTCCAAGATATGTGCCTCCTTTTTGAAGCATGGACCCACCGCTTGTATGCAGTATTCTAGATGAGGCCTGACATATGTTGCTGACCATTGTTGCTGCGATGGTCAGTTTGCTCTAATTATTCCAGTAGCATTTCCCCCTTATAAGTATACGTATTTTATGAAGATCGCAGGTCGAACGAGAGGATACAACTTACTAAAGTAAGGTTTACTCCGATACATTTTTTAATGAAACATGGTTACCCTGGTCATTATGCCCAACTGATGTCGATAGGTGGTGTTTCCCTGAGTTACCTGTCATTTTCCTGGCCCAGAAACACAATAAGAGGACAAAAACTACAACTGTGCACTGAGAATAGACTAAAGATACAAAAAGAAGAGTACATAAAATGCAAACGACTCCGATGACATCATGAGTTGAAGTTCATTTAGGGAATTAGTCGAACGATTTCAACAAATATGCAAGATTCGATTTTATGATAGTGATATCTTACAACCCTCAATGGACTTGTTCTATGGAAATGGAAAACAAAAAGTCAAATCATAGTATGATAGCACGTCCAGAAAACGATCGGGGTCAGTACTGTTGCAACAGCAGAAGGCAAGACACGGAAGTCACGGTATAATTTTAACTGGACAAACTGCTGTTTATGCATATGCAGTTTATGTTCCTTAATCAACCACTGATTTTGGTTTATATTAAACGACATAAAATAGAATGTTAATGCAGTATATAACCTAGGGAAAGGTATTCCGTCTCTAATGTCATAAAGAATGTTCAAATAGATATATCGTGTTGTGTTGCTAATGCCGAATTGGACTGTGGGAATATGCGAGAATAATATTACGTTGGAACCCATTGTCCGTATCGCACCACCACACTGTTAAGAAGGGATGAGTACTCAGGTAACTAGAGACCATGCGTGAACAACCGAATGTAACACGACAGCGTGTTATATCTCAAGAATGCTTGAGAGCATACCTTCTACTTAAGCAGTTGCTTTGCCAGTGTACGTGAGCATCCTACCCTGGATGATGATAGCTGTAACCGAATTATTCCGGGGAGGTATTTACCACTACTATGAAACAACGTGATCGTGTGGATTTCTCTCTCCGAATATTTGCAGAAAAAGAAAAGGGACTTTGAAATGGTTTGCAGAGTATAGGAATGTAGTGGCAGAGATTTAAGGAACCATTTTTTCGTGTGTGTAGATCTCGGCTTTCTTGATGTGCCGATCTTTCTTGGCATCACTACTCCTTTTTATCATTTATTCAGTGCTTCACTAGGAGGTTTAATCAAGACAAATATTTCTTATGGAAATCACGATTAGCTACCGTTGCATATCCTCAGCTATGACTGGCGCCATTTGTGTCACCTGCTTGTATATATCCTGATTTGGATGGTTGCTTTAAAGCTAGTAAGTTATCTATACTATTATTCTAGTTGTTTTCAATAAAATTTCCGTGAGGAATGTGTTATTTCCCATTCGCCCATCATCTAGATAATAATAAGCCAGTAACCCCTACTCTACAAACTTTTTACACCGTGTGGCTTCTGAGGAGCCCGTACGCAGTAGTGCTGCGCATACGTTGTATTTCTGATAGTGTGTGCTGTTCCTTCTCATTCGCACGTTCTCTAGAGAACACCTGAAATCACAGGCACTGTGGATACTACAAGCCCATCTAAATGCTGCATGCCCATCAGCGAAACACTCTGGTTGAATGATTAGGGGAACTACTTTCACAATATATACTAAACTCTAGTCACTAAGAGAACTGTGCATACCAATCATAGCGAGTATGCTCAAGGAATTTACCTTTCAGTTTACCAAGGGCACACATTGCGTTGAATTTAGAAAGAATAATATAGCAGGTGCTTTAACTCCTGTCCAGGTAAATACCTCTGAGAGATATCAGACTGACCTCCGAAAGTTGACGAAATTGCAGGTAAAAAATAATGAACCATGAAGACTGAAACTTAATCCGAACACTTCACTGTTGTTTGAAGTGGTTATGCTTAATGACTAGTTATTACCTGTAAAATTTTTACTGGAAAGCCACGCAACATCATAGTGGCACAGATGAGACGACTCAATTGATTCGAAATATGTTGCAGTTTTCTCACTGGCATTCGACTGACAGAGTTTTCGGTGGCGACTGGTGGATGAGGCCAAACATGAATTGCGAGTCTGAAAGGTGGACCGAAGCTTCCTTATATTGCGTATTACTGAAAGTGAGACCACATCCAGCCCCATAGACGTACAATTTTTCTGGTCGTGGATGCAAATACGAACTTGGGTTTTCTGATCCCATTGAACCATTACCAAAATCCGACGGTTCTACATACATTTTAATCAGTATTGATCAATTAACGAGATTTCTAGTAGCCGCTCCATTACTAGGCAGAGTGGAAGAGACCGTTATGAGGACCATTTTCAACGTCCGAACTTTCATTTTCGGCATGCCCAAATTTATTACTACAGAAAAAGATATCGAAAAGGTCATTTACTTCAATAGCTGATTGAGCTGCTCGGGAGCAGGCACAGTGAACTTTATCACCTCAGTTACTTTCGCATGGTAGAAACCTTTCATCATCTTCAAAATGCAACGGTGAATGAAACGACTAGCTACCTATGACATTCCCCGGAATACACAGAGCAATAAAGTTTGTCAAATAATAATATATTCCAACTTGTTTGTGCACTAGGGACTCAAGTTTATCGGTTTCATCAACATATTAAGTCATATATATGGGGTAAGCATATTCACAAGGGTTAATACTAAACACGGAGATATGTATGACAAAGGTAATGAAATAATGTTGGTAAAGTAAGTTTACAGAGATAGGGGCAGTGTGCAGTGTATAATGACAGGCTCAGGACTATCCAAAATTAATTATAGGCAGCAATATTTAGAGATTGTATTAAAAATGACCAGCATGATCGATTTTTCTTAAAATCACATAGTTTCTCATGTAAAATTGTTAGTTTGTTTACCAGTGATAGTGTCTGCAGTGTTAATAACGGCAGACGGCTCACCACAGTAGTCAATACGCAAATAATTGTTGATTAACATTTCCCTGGGTTCTAATTGGAACATAGGGCTTCAACAACACATCTCCACTTTGTCCTATCTTCTACTCTCCTCTTCAGCTAGGCCCACGATTGACCATAAACTCCCATCTCCTCCTCACACGATCTCTTCCATGTCACCCTCGCACCGACGACCCACTCGTCGCTTTCCATTGGGATTCCACTCGAGCCATGGTCTGCACTGAATGCGATGTCATTCGACGGCTTCCTCAGTATATGCCCAGTCCATCTCCATTTTCTCCTGCATCTTTGTTGCGCGATAGGCTCTTGGCTGGTTTTTTCCTATAGTTTCTTGTTGCTTATTCCTTCCGGCTGGCCATTTGATCTTCAGCATGGAGCTAGCAAAGGCAGCTGTTCAAAAAAGTCTGCGACCTGCTAGAAACCCTTTCCGTTACACGCAGTGCAAGTTTCTGACCCCTAGAGAAAGACCAATTTGACATTGGTGCTGAAAATCCGAATCTTGTTCCATATGCTGACTGTAAAAGATTTCCAAACTGGTTACCTCTACGATTCTGACTGGCTTTGGCATCTACATCCATTCCGTGTGCCTGTAGTTGAAGTGGTGCTTTCTAGGTAAGTGAAGGAGGTAACCTCTGTTAAATCTCTCGTTTTGATGGTGATTGGTGCTGGTTGTTGTTGGTGATGTTGGTTGGTAATCTTAATCACCTCCGTCTTTTATATGTCCACCTGCGGTCCTGTCTTCGCTGCCAGCCTCTTCTGTCAGTTTGTTGGTTTTCGCCTATAAGTCTTCTAGTTTATGTGACACGAGGTATAGATCATCCACGCGCGAAATCCACGTCCTCTAGAGTCTTCTTATAGGTGACCCGACGTATTCCTGTCTCTTCAATCCCAACTCACAGTTCACTCATAATCGAGTCTACCAGATCGACAGTGGACGGCCTTCTCCTACTCCTGTATTCACTTAAACGCCCCTCTGAGTTTCCTGTTGTGGATCACCAGGCATGTGACATCATCATGTAGCCAGCTGTTGAGTGAAGTTGATAAAGACTTGGGCACTGCTCGCAACACTGTTGAAGTAGTTTCCAAATCGCTTCTCGGTCAACGCTGTCTGGTGAAGGCCTTTTGGAAGTCTGTGAAGTTCAGGTGGAGTGGGGTTTGACTGCTATTCTATGCTTTGTTCGATGGGGATGATGATGCATACAGCTACGATTTGATCAGCACATGATTTCCTTTCCCTGAATCCAGCTTGTTGTGGTCGGTGAGGCGGAGTCCTGTATCCAGTGTATCTTTCATTTTTTCCAGGATGCTGCGGATTAGTGTTTTACTTGGCGTGGACCAGGTTGGCATGATTCTATTCCAGTTCATGCACAGGCCTAAATCGCCCTTCTTTGGCAGTTTGACGGGGTAGCCAGCCCTTCTTCCAATCAGTAAGCACCTTTCCTCCTTTCCAAACGTTTTGCAGTAATAGGGTGAGAACATCTGCCGTAATCTATGGGGTAGTCTTGTGATCTGGTCTGGTCTTGCTGCCTTCCGGGATTGACTTCAGTAGCTTGATCGCATACAGGATTTCTGCTTTCTTTGGAGGAATGGTGTCCACTGGCAGTTCTTTGCGTGCTGTTGGTGATATTTCTGCGCGGGTTGCCAGTGGTGGTCGATTCAAGAGTCCTTTAAAGGGGTCATCCCACTGTTTGATTTGTTTCTCCTCCAGGGTGATCAAGTTCCCTTGAGCATCTTATGTTGCTTTCATCATCTGGGTTGATCTCTTCCCGAATAGAGACTTGGTTATCTTATATAGTGCCTTGATGTCTCTTTTGCCTGCGGTCTGTTCTGCTTCAGTTGCCGGCCAGTGTGTCATAGAATTTTCTTTCCAGCCACTCTTCTTTACTGCTCTATTCAGTGCAGTGTACATCGAACTCAGCTTCTCCTTCTACTGCCAATATTTGCATTAAGTCATCTTCTCTTTCACCATCCTCTTCTCTTCCCTTCTGTTAGCTCACTTACCCTCCAGTAGACAAATTTGATAATCCATATCCATTCTATCTGCTCTTGCAGATTCCCAGGAATTTCATGCCATATCTTCGCATTTCGTTGGCTACTTGGGCAGCCTTCCATTCTCGTATATTGTATGGAAATTCCACGTCGCCATTCTTATTCTTGCTTTCAGTTAGAGAAAACACATCGGCTGGCTGACTGGTTGCCCGAAGGCTTCTACCAGCCCGCGTAATTTCGCCTCTCCAACCCCAGCGAGGAATAAGATGGTTAAAATTCAATCTGAAGGAATATTCTTTTCAATAATTTCTCTTCAGGTTCCTACAATTATGAAATATAATATTTGTTGTCGTTACAATAAAGGCCAGTTATGCAGCAGATACATTTTCTGTATCCAAAAAGAACACGTCCAGACGCTGTTCCTACCGTGGCCAAACTTGGATTGATGATTCTTCTTCTTATCAAGAGTGCTCCTTCCCCTTAACCCTCTTGGCTTTTTTTCCTTTGCTTATTATTACAAATATTATTATTAATAATATTATTCGTCATAATTTATGCCCTTCATGCAAACATTCTCTCAATACTATCGAATTTTTTAGTTTATACTATCCGGACTTATTATTAGTGATATTATCTCTTTTCTCAATATATACCTCCACCTGTTTCATTTTACATATTCGTTATCTCATTATGAACCTCTCATTGCAGTCTTACTATCTCCTGTTTAACAGAGACCACTTTGTACTAGCCACTCACTTGACACCTTTTATAACCTTGAACTGACTTGTCAACTTTCCTACCCCACACTCTACAAATCTGTTATGATTAATCACCATTGTCTCCCGCTTTACAATATTCTGTAGTCGAGTTCAGCCCAGCACGTTTGTCACACAAAAACGACTATTTATTTTGACACCCCATAACTAATCTGTTATTCTACGTTAAAAATGTATCTGCCGCATAACTGGCCTTTATTGTAACGACAACAAATATTATATTTCATAATTGTAAGAACCTGAAGAGAAATTACTGAAAAGAATATTCTTCGTTCAGATTGAATTTTAATTCACAATATGGAAATTTTCCACACTATCAAACAAGACAGTTGTTCGAAATTTTTGCATCTTTTTCTATTTCTTGTGCGTTGAAGTTTCTGTAGCAGTGTGATTGGTCAGAAGATTACTTGGATTTATATTTCATAATTGTCACATCCAAGAGTCCAAAACGTTGCCGAATAAAACGCCCATACGCCCTTCCCTTCAGTACTGTCTATTTATCTTAGTTACCACTTCTACTGAAGACAAACTGTAGACTGAAAGTGTTCATAGGAGATTCTTAAGTTGAGATTCGGTAACAAGTCCATGATTTTTTAAGCGTTCAAACCGTATATATTACGAATTTCCTGGAATAATTTTAGTGCTGAGTTAGACTGACTCATTATAACTTAGTCAAAATAATTCCAGCTTGTTTCTGAAAAGATCGCTATAGTATTTCTCATAACGTTTCACTATTTAGGCTTCCTTAGATGAATTATTAGGATTTTAATGACTTCCGAAATTTTAAGTCATTAAATTGCACAGATTTAAGCGTGTTCCTTTGAAGGTCACTTGCCGGCAGACATTTGTACTATATGTGATGTCTGGTTAAATATTTCTTTCGGTATGAATGTCTGCCGACAACTGACCTTCAGTGGGACTCACTCCATTTCATGTTATTTCTGAATACATATTTAGATAGTTAATTAAATAGAAGTAATTCTGCTGAGGAAGCCTAAATAGCAAAACGCTCGAAAAAATCTTGTTTATTCTTTTTTCTTAAACATTCTGGGATTATTTTCAATAAATAATAAGTCTGAAAGTTCTCTACAACTATCACTGCACAACCCTTAAGATCAAATCCCTTTGGTTCAGGTGTCAACGACTTAACCTCACTCTTCTATTTAAAGTTCCCATAGCAACAGTATACTTTTGTAAAAACAGACTTTAACTTAACGTATGAACTAATCAGCAATGGGTCTCCTGAGGTCATCTTCTTTTTCGAAACAAGTTTCTTTCTAATTTCCCTGCTATTAAGTATTGGCAAATATGAAACTTCTTACCAACAGTTGTCAAAAATTGAAAATGAAAAAATGAACTCCGTCTCTGTTGTATGTTTTGAATTATCAACGCTTTTAGGACGTTTCTGCACCTTTCTCGTGGTTTTCTTTCGTCTTGTCTCTTCGAAGGTACTACCTTCGATATAGACATTGATACAGCAATGCTACCATCTACGTTAGCATTACTAGAATGGAGAGTTAAACCTAAACTTTACGAATATTCGGAACATCGGAACCAACTTCGTCATAAAATCTGCTGACCCTTCTGAATCATAAGCTGATAATTATTTTAAATTTTGTGTCACTTATATTTCCCTTAAGCACATCTGTACCACCTTTTACTAACGTAATCATATATAATTCCCACTTAAAACATACATGCAGTAGGTATACATTCTTGCAGATGTAATCTCCCCGTGATCTAATATTTAGACATTCGCAGACAACTAATCGCTTTCGTTTTAAGCACAGTATATAACTTTCCGCCCCAAATATGGCTGGATGAGATATTAATTGTATCCCTTTGGCGAAATAATGGGGTAACACCGAACACATGTCCCCGTATCTGGTATTCTCATTCTAATCACCACAAAGGTCGACAAGGTACTGGATCTAAGCCAATAGTTATTCTGGCTGTTGTCTCTTGGTGACAGATATCCTTGCTTTTCATGTCATTGGTGATTCGGCATCCGCGACAATGGGTTTCCGAAGTCAAATTCCGATTTTGCGGATTGAGCGTTATGATGAAAATAGTAGGTTGCACCCAAAAGTAAAATTAAATACATCTGAAAAAGAGACCAAATATATGATAAAGAAATAGCGAATCGTGACAGTCAATTCTCGCATCAGTGTAACCTCAAAGCCACCAACCGACAGTGCTTATAAAGTTGATCGTATCTTTAATAGGCAAGGTAGTGGGCAAATAAACAGAGGAAGCCTGGCAAACACACAGAAGGATCTTCATCACTAAATGCTGTTCACTGGGGATGGCAATCACCACTAATTACAAAAAGGCGTAACCCCACCTGTTTACACGTATGCTCCTTCTGCAGTTTCTCAGGAAGTCCTTCTCTTCCTGAAATAGCTTTTAATAACGTGAGGGTATAGCACTTAAATACAGGTTGTTCATTGGTTGACTATAACTATCAGCAGGAAACGACGTGAGGTTTAGGTTGTTGCCCAAACTTGGTGGTGACATTAGCGAAGGATTAACAATTTAACATTTATAGGAACCGGTCTTGATTGCTTGTACTATAATTCCACATTTCAAACTTTTGGAAAGGTGCTAATTTATGATGTTTCACACTTGTAATTTATACGAGATCTGATCGTGCCTGTAAAATGGTACTTAATGGCCCGTATGTTCGCAGTAAATCGTATGTATTTTGAAGACGGACCGTCAGATATACAACTCAGATTTGGGAGTATGCTGCATGCTTGGCGACTTTCATGGTGGCCATTCAGACCCACGCTCCATCCGGGCTGTGACTTGAAACAAAGAGACAGCAGGTAACTAAAATGAGTACTATGTGGTAACTATTTCGACAATGCGGCTTGTGTCCCAGAAGTATCACATCCCCTACACAGCAGTGATTTTATTATCATTAGGGATTTCACATCGTTAAGGCATCGTTAGTGCATTCAATTTCTGTAAACTGTCTTTGTTATAGTTTGTCAGAAATTGGCTGACGGTAACTTGGATACTTTATAACCTAGGAATATGAGTAGAGCTCGGAATCGCGTTTATCTCAGCCAAAGAACTTGTGGTGACAGTAAGATGTGTAACATTCATCTTCAAAGTCACTCTTATGACCTAGAGAAGAAACTTAGGCTACCATCGAAGGAATTAGCACATTTATAATCGGTTCATTTTCGCCGATGCCATATTCAGACCTGACGTTGGGGTCTTGCTAACTTAAATTTTCCATTTTGCAGGTGATGAAGGACCTCTCAGGAATACCAGAGTTCATTGTGTAGAAAAGTAGGATGTTACCAGACGTAACTCAGATTAAAATTGACTTGTACTCCAACTTAGTAACTAGTGCAACAAAAGTTTATATTACAATAGAATCAAAACTTCTCTTCTTTTTCAGAAGGTGCATGTTCACAGCTTTGGCTTTACCAGAAATTACCCGAGATGGGAATGAGATAGATTAGGTTACATAGTATCATTAATTCTGGTCTCCGTTTTTCTTCATTGTTGTCCTAGGTCATTGTCAACGACCTTCTGCACTTTAAAGCGCTCTAGTTGTTTCTGGTCACGGCGATGGTAATAAAAACTATGAAAAAGGGGAAGAAAAAAGTATCCCATCAGGGTGACCCAGTTATAAAAAATGAGATACATAAGATCAAAGGTAAAATTTCTCCAAGTTAATGACTTGTCACAGAGAAGCTCACTAGCAGGCAGAAAAAAAGAATTAAGAAAAGGATTTTGGATTCCGATAGCAAATTAGAAACTAAGACTCTTTTTAAGGTATGTTTTAGTATAGGCTATTACAGCTAGACTGACGAAAATAATACCACTGAGCCAGATACACTTGATGACTTCCCTATGGAAAATGACGGTAGTGAACTAATGGGTGATGACTTTGGTCATCTCTCAGACTTGGAGGATGAAGAATTAAAGACGACTGTGGATGTTGAAGAACCTGTTGATGACGAGGAAGATGTTGTTACTAATCTCCTCACTGGTGATGAAAATGTTAAAGTTACTCTAGACTCCAGCACGTTGGATCAGCGCATTCGTAACTGGCTTCATATCCTTGCCGATTTTAAAAATAGAGCGCCAGACGACCTCAAAAGGAGTATGTGTGTCAGAACGCTTCTGGGCGACCTGTGTTCTCGTTATTCTTACAATCACTTTCTCATGGTCAAACTCTTTGATCTATTCCCTAAGGAGGTATTACCATTTTTTAATTTCATATCCACCCATAGATTGTAGAGTTTGTTGAAGCAAACGAAGTCGACCGTCCAGTAACAATTCGTACAAACACTTTGAAAACTCGGCGACGGGAGCTAGCTCAGGTAATTGCTTCTAGATTAAATAAGTTTTAGGCTTTGATAAATCGAGGTGTAAATCTTGATCCTTTAGAGCCGTGGAGCAAAGTTGGGCTCGTTGTTTACTCATCCCAGGTCCCGTTAGGTGCGACACCAGAGTACCTTGCTGGTCACTACATACTGCAAGGTGCCAGTTCTATGCTTCCTGTAATGGCATTGTGTCCACAGCCAGGTGAGCGTGTATTGGACTTGTGTGCGGCACCCGGTGGTAAAACAACATACATAGGTGAGTTTTGTAGTCCCAATTGAATAGTTTTCTTCAATCACGCAGTAATTGCCTTCTTTCAATTTGTCTATTAGAAACACCTATTCCAGGATATTCTTAATAAATACTATACAAACAGCTGCAACCTTAAATTATAAATATGATTTTAATGTGCATCTCTGTAGCATGCAAGTGAACAATGTCACGTTAGATAACGACAACAGTTGTAATACCATATTGCTAAATAATCTTGAGTACAGTTTTTAGTAACCATTTACTAACGTATCACGACTTATTAACTCCTCTGTATAAATACATATATGCACTGAGTCCGTGTAATTCTTACAAAAGTAGCACAATATTTCGAACGTTTGATTGAGTACTGAATTAATTTTTGACGTTGATTAAATAGACGAAATGTCAGTTGTTAATTCCATGTAACCTGCCAGGTTTTAAACTTAGTATCTTATCGTAATGTTATGTTTTTATGCTACTGACGAGGTCCTTTCCTAATGTTGTACACTAGAATTTATATTTCTAGGTGTAATGGATTGCTTAACCGTGGTAGTTGACTAAGATTTATACGTCAGAGACATATATTTGGCCTAGAAATTACAGCGTCAAACTCATCACATTAATTTTTTATGCGGATAGCCAACATGGTAATGAGTTACACCTTTTATGTGACGGCGGTACACAGCTGTCTAAACCTCACTAGATGAAGTGGGATTATAACGCTTGAGTTACTGTTTAAAAGTCCAATGAAAAATCTTTATTTGACTTGAACTTCCACAGAATTCTATTGTTAATGAAGTCTTCTTATTTGACTCTGGTGATCCTATATATATATTAGTCAACTAAATTGGTGGCATTACCTTAGGAGTTTTCCACTTATCCCTTACAAAACTTAAGTGTAAATCATTTTTACCAATTACCGTTGTTTTAACTAATATCCATATATTTGCAGCACAATTGATGAAAAATACTGGGACTATCTTCGCCAACGAAATCAATCCTGCCAGAGCCCAAGCTTTAATCGGAAATTGTCATCGTATGGGTATTACAAATACCATCATATGTACAGAAGATGGGCGAGGATTTCCAAAGATAATGTCAAATTTTGACCGAGTACTCGTTGATGCACCCTGTTCTGGGACGGGAATTATTGCCAAAGACCCGTCAGTAAAAACCAGTAAGAACAATGAAGATATACAGAAATGCGTAAAGCTGCAAAAAGAATTACTCACAGCGGCTATTGATGCTTGCAAAGTCGGAGGTTACATTGTATATTCCACCTGTTCCATTTTGGTAAGTTTATTATAACTATTTGTAAAATGCATTACACGAATCGGTAGTTTGACGATAGATAAAGACCAGGCGTAGATGGCTTTACTTCCATTAATAGCTAACAATGGAAACTTTGATTATATTGTCCTAAGGAGAAAAAGAATGGAATCAGCCCTGTTTGCGGTGACTCGCTACACCGTACATACTCAAAGTTGCAGCCCCTTAACCGCATCTGCGACTGAATTTAAGAATAATAATTCTGATTATGCTCTTCAACTAGAAATGCAGCACTTATGCTGATATAGCCTACTTGAACACTCACTACAACTTTATGGAGCTAGATTATAATCCACAACTGATATTTTAGTCTTTATAATACTACAGGGGGTGGACATCTTTATTGAAATAGAAGACATGCGACTCTAACCGTGTACATATTATTGGAAACCAATTTAGGTATGCAGTGAGTCAGGTAATTCATCACTACTTCTTTCGAACCACTAATCATGTGTTAATTGGAAACGTAATTTTTCGAAACTTTGAGTATCTGACTGCTTGTTCTTAATGGAACTACTGTGTAAGCAATACAAACGTTTGATGTAACTTTTAGGAAGACATTTAATGAGATTAACAACTTCTACCATTTGCAATGCTTTGGCCTTATGTTTCGTATGCATACTCCCCGTCGACGTTGTCATAGTAATAAAAATATGACTGGATCCAGGTAAAATGCAGTAGTCTTTTCAGAAACTCATTGGTATATGGTGTGACTGTAAATCCGGTTGTGATTAACACAACTACGGGATGTAATAGTTGGAAATTACGTAGTGTGACTAAATATAGCACACAAATGTATTCACTCCATCGTGATTGTCTGTTATCCATCGTCCACTCCATTTATTTCCGTCAACTTGACTTTCAGCAACCTAGATCGCTACTGGGTTACACTTTTACGGTCTGTCTGTATTCTAAAGTTACCATGATATTAAACAAGGTGTTGCATACTACTTCGCAGGTATTTTCCATCAACTTAAACCCTTGACTCTTAACCCATGGGTTCTGGATTCGAATCCTATTCTACTCAATTCACCCCTCAAACATTAAGTGCAGTCCACAGCCCCTGACATATGAAAAGTCTGGTCTAACAACAAAAGTTACCGCAGAGTTAACCAACTATATAAATTACAGCATTTTGTATAAAATATTGAAGATCATTCCGAATTTTCAAACAACATTCATTTTTCATATCTACTAGGTAGAGGAAAATGAAAATGTGGTCAATTTCGCAGTGAGACGGCGGAAAGTACGTCTAGAGGAAACAAAACTGTTCGGTGAAAAAGGCTTCACAGCGTAGGTGAGCGTTTACCTAAAACAATTATTTTGACAGATTCAAAGGTTATCAATTTCATCCAAATATGACCCGCGCTCGACGCTTTTATCCACATAAACACAACGTGGATGGTTTCTTCGTGGCTAAATTGAAAAAACTGGCAGCACGGTCCCCGGTAAAAACGGAAGAAAATGGTGAATCGTCAAATGCAACTAAGAATGGTTAATATTTGTGAATACAAAAATTCAGATTAATTAGCTTTTATTTTGCTTGCATACAATTGCTTTGTATTATATATATCCAAGATGTTTGTAGTTAACATTTTGCAAGTGGTTTGTCTCTCTAAGACATGGCTTTTAATAGACACAAAAGTGACTTAATGGAATCAATCGTAAAAGAAGTGCAGATACAATACACTAGCTAGAGCACTTCGGCTTTTCTCCTAAGTGCGTCAACAACAATACACGGAAAATCTTTTAAATATAGAAGATATCAGCATCACTTGTCGTCGATGTTATTAAGGCGTGCTATGTAGGCTAGATGGCAAGCGATAGTTTGGTATCACATTCAATTCTTAGCACACCAGTTTTCAGCCTAACACACAGGTTCTTTCCGGCTCACTGAAGACAGGCCCCGACTTGTTCGCCTACATGCATATGCAGAACAGAAATGTTAAGCAACAATACTTTGAACATCACTCTATTTGTGGCATGAATCGAATGCATTTGGATTAAATAAGCTGACTAGCTAATTCTTTGTAGTCAAACACCTTATAATCACTGCTATTTTACTTTAAGTTTTAAACACCGAAGAATGGTACATAAAAGTCAACACATAATGAATGCAACATAGTTTATTAAATGCTAGTTGCTTCATGCAACAGTTTAATGATTGGAGTTATTCCAAAATAGTCTAGTTGTTGCAATACAGCGTAAGCGTACATAAAATAATCTTAGTTTACAAAATGCGTGTTATTTTCCTTCTCTACGTATCCCAATTATAACGAATTACGTTTACGAAAGTCTTCAAAAAATGCATTCACTTCTTCCGCTGTAACAACCTAAAATAAAGGATAAAACGAATACGATAATTTAGTTTATTTTACTGGAAAGTGCCGACAACTATCCACTTATCGGGTTACATATTATAATGCGTTGTACTGGTTGGATTGATTACGTATACAATTTATATTGCAGTAATACTAAAAGCAGTGTTACTGGATTTACCCTACGTTGAGATAGACAAAGAAGTCGAACTAGGGGAAACGACAACAACAACCGTGACAAAGTTTATCAGATATGGTACATCTTATTTGCAAAACCTCAGGATTTTAAGCTACAAATTAAAAAAAATCTGACTGGCTTTATGATTTTGCGATCCTCCAGGAAATTATGTCATCAATAAACTGGTCAAAAACTGTCCAATTAGGTTATCATTTCAGCTTGTCTTTTCTAACGCATTCACTGCTGTTATATATCTATAGACCAGCTCTCTCGTAGGCGTACACGTCGCGCGTGTCTTTCACAGTTAAATGGTACTAATATGAACAGTTCAGGGGATATAAAGTGTTAATCTGAATCTTAATGCATACAATAAGACGAGATGCCTTTACGAGATTCTTGGGTTCAGTGGAATGTTCCATGAACGTTTCTAATCTTCATATAGCGGTTTGCAGTACTAAGAAACCGACTTGAATGAAATACAGTCATCGAGCATAATACCTTTAGGGTTACCAATAGTGGTTGCAGAGTTTGTCAACTATTATTGACCAGATGAAGGATTTTTGCGACTGAGAGTATCTTAGTTTCTTTTACTTCAGTGGAAAGGTGGTTCACTACTACTACTACGGGTGTTGGAATGAAAATTGAAAATCTTCATTGTGTTAACTCAGATACTTTTATTATGATTACAGACCAGGTTAGCAACTGTTAATTGCCGTCCTAATATCAATGTGATAAGAATTACAAGGCGAACTCACTTCAGAAAGTGACTTAAACAGAAGTAAAGACAATTTATAATTCATTATTAAGTTAAAAGGAAAGCTACTTGCTGTTAACTCAACCTAATTACGAAACATTTAAAAAAAAGTAAATATGAGTCTATGAATGAATCACTTACATGGCATTCATCTCTTTTCTTTGTAAGGAATTCTTCTAAAGCACTTTTTAGCCTTGCATACCCTAGATAGAAATAAGTCGTAACCATGAATAGTGGAAATAAATTAAACAATACAGCTATATTCATGTAAGAATAGGACTTATGCATTGTGGTAGAGTATAATTCCATTATGGGTGAGATTTATTTTTTTTAATATTTAAAAAAAATATTTTTGATTACGGCTTAATGCAACACCGTATTTTCAGTACAAGTATGGCATTTTCAGCATGGATATGGGTAGCCCGAATTCTGCAGGCCGACCATAGATATCGGGTGTGCGCCGACAGGGGATCGAACCCCGGACCATGTGCATGGTCGGTGAGAGTCCTAACCACTGGGCCACCGACGCACAGTGTTATACAATAATATTTACTGATGACGTCTTAAGCACAATTTATTGCCACTCATAATCATGTCAAGTTACTCACACAACTTTCTAACCGTTTATATAATTTCATTATTTTTCATCGCTTGAATTGATTGGTTGTAGTATTTTCCATATTTCCGGTGTGAGTGATGAGTCATTCTTATTGCACGTGTTGCGTTTACATTCCATGAACAAAGATTCATTAATCAACAGGTATATTCGTCTTACTGTTCTAAACCGAATACATTATACTCCTACGTGGTTATGCAGTAAATGCCAACGGTCCTAATCAACATATCAACTTACATGATTTAAGATACAGGACCTACAACGGCTACGCTACGATTTTGATAGCTACAAGGATATAAAACTCTCACAAAGGTTGCGAAATGATATTCAAACAAAAAGATTGGGATTTTGTAAATTGCAGAAATAGCGTACCAATGCTGTTACAACCGATTTTGAGCTGAAATTTTTCAAGCGAATAATTTATCTAGGTGGTGATAGTTATTAATTAGCGTAAGTGACACGAGCTAAAGCCAACTGATGTATATTCACAACCTTCATTTCGTTGTTTCTACGTTTAGTTACAGTCTCTAGATCTTATTGTCAGTAATCTTGCGTTTCAATCATAAATCAGGGAAAAGTGAACTACTGTGCAGTAGGCACGTTCGTTGATAACGAGTGAGATATTCTAGCACGAAACAATACAGGATTTAGAAACATTTATTTCCCGAAACGGATTTAAACAAGCAATAAAGGTTAATAAAGCAGGATTTAATGAATTCATCAAATTTCGGTAGAACTCGTCAGCTGAATACTCTACATACACGGATATATATACTTTTGAAATTACATTGGGAGATATAGGACTGATAAGTAAACAAACTACATTGAATTAGTCATGCAGAAAGACAGGTGCGAATGTTTTTCCAGGTCATGTTCAATTAGATAAGGGGAGAGAGAGTATGAGAGATCAAAATTAAGATAAATTGCATTACGCTTCAATTACATCACTTAGATAAACAATTAGACATTAGAGAATTTAACAAGAATTGCAACCAGAGGGATGTCAATAGTAATAGTTATAATAACAATAATAATAGTGTTGAAGTGAGTTAAGATAATGCTACTGATAAAGGATAGTTTTAAATGAATCAAGAATAATAATAATAATAATAATAAGAGGTAGAATTATAAGTAAAACGTATTACCATGGTAGATTCAGAGTCACGACCATCTCCTTTTGTACACAGAGACCTGGTTTGTAAACTCGAATTGCACAAGCCTCTGCAATTGCAAGCATCTTCTTGTTTCTTTGTCTGCTGACAATAGTGAATGACTTGACCGCGTCGATATCATGTCCGTAATCCACAAGATGCTTTGTTATTGAGGATTTTGGCACTTTGCACTCAGCTGTTTTCAACCATTTTGGCAAATGCTCCATCATGCGAGTAGACAATCGCCTTTCCGTACGACCTATGTATTTGCTTCCACAAACACACTCAAATTGATATACGCAGTTTGAAGTGTCGAGGATTGGCGACTGGTCTTTCCCAGATTGTTGAAGCACTCGCTTAGTGGTGTTAAGGAAAACAAGTTTTGCAGCATAATAAGTTCTCTTGATGGCTTTGTCGAGTCTTCGTTTGACTACTTCCTGTACATCATCTCCTTTGAACGGCAAACTGATATAGACAGGTTTCTTCGGAACTGTTTGGATTGTTTTGCAGGGGCTGTTTTCTTTAGAGTATTTATTAATGAACTTCTCAGGATATCCATTCTTAGATAAGATATCCTTCAGGGATTTTATTTCATGCTCAACAGTACTGTCAGAACAAATTTTTCGTGCTCTATTGAACAGTGTTCTGACTAAGTTCTTTTTATACTGGATTGGAACAAAACTCTTGAAATGCATGTACTGTCCTGTCCATGAAGACTTTCTAAATATAGATCTTTCGATTGTGCCATCATTCATTTTCGCCAGAAAAACGTCTAGGAATTTAATAGTATCGTTTTCCTCGTGTTCTACTGTGAAATTGAGATTTGGATGGCATGAGTTGAATTTTATCAGCATGTCTTCGGCCTTTGATCTGCTTCCACAGACAATAAAAATGTCATCAACATATCTTAGGTATAGATCCGTTTCTTGTATATGTTGCTGCAAGGTACCGGTTTCTAGGCGTGACAAGAATAAGTCAGCGAAAAGTGGTCCCAAAGGGCTTCCCATTGCGACACCATCAACTTGACGGAATAGACGCCCGTCGAATTGGAATTGGACATTTTTAGTACATAAAAGTAGCAATTTCCTCAATTCCGACGTTGGAATGGGTATGTCTTCAGCTTCTTTACATATGAAGTCGATAGTCTCAACGACTGGCACATTTGTGAAGAGGGAGGTAACATCGAAAGAGACCAAATGTTTATCAGATACATTGAAATCTTTGATTTGCTTGACAAACTGGAATGAATCAGAAACTATATACTTTCCGAAGCGTTTCCGCAGGGGCTGCAACAGTTCACATAGCCACTGTGCTAATTTGTGGTATGGTGAGTTTATCATCGAGAGTATGGGTCTTAATGGCGCTCCTGGTTTGTGTATTTTAACACGCCCGTATAGTTTTGGGATTTGTGACCCAATCGGCTTGATATTTCTATATGTGTTTTCATCAATGTATTTATTTTTGAATAGTTGGCGTAGCTGCTGTACAATTTTCCTTTCGGTCGA